GGGGGGCTTTTACACTAAATGACTGGGACAGATCGAGATGTGTGTGTGTGTGTGTGTGAGAGTGTGTGTGTCTGTGGGGCAGGGGGGGCAGACAGAGATGTTACTGCAGCAGAGACAAATAGTAAATGATAGATGTGCGACAGACAATATGGAGGGAAACCACGAGGGAGGAGGAGGAGGAGAGGGTTTTTGTCTGGATAGGCAACACCAAAGTGCCAGCCCGTCTGTAATGGGCTGCTCTATCTCACACAGGAGGGGGGCTGGACGTTTGGATTGTGCGACAGCAGGAGTGCAAGCTGCAAATGAAGCAATTTAACATGAAATACCGAGCGATATAGCAGTTAAAACGAGGTTAAGAGGAGCGTGTTTCAACTACAGTGTAAGAAAATGCTGATGCTATGAATATCTAAATGGAGCCTATTGAAGGATGTTAGGCAAATTATTATTCAGTACATTGTGATTTTGCTTTTGAGGCCATAATGCACGATGAAATTAATTTAATCTGTAGACGTCGCATCAGCAGAATATTATCAGTTCAACGTTGAATATTGTGTGTGTGTGTTGGGAAACACTGGCTGCATCTGTGGCTCGTCCCAGCTCTGTATCTGCAGCAGGGGCCATAAATAATGTTAATGACATGCTTATGCTCCACATGTAGTTTAAGTGTGTGTGTGTGTGTGTGTATTTGTAAGGCAAATGCAGTAAGTGGCGCTGCAAAGTATTTCTCTGCACCGCGCAGTGATGTGATGCTAATGTTAACAAAGAGCGTTGTTCAAGGTCACCAAATACTGCCAACGCAGACTTAAGCATTGTCCTACTGCTGTGTACCATGAGACACAGTTATTTATTTACTGCAAATTGTCTTTGTTCGTCAATGCAACAGTCAGAACAATTAAACACTCTTCCACCAGGTGGCAGCATATTGTTATAAAAGCTAAAACAAAAGAGAGTTTTAGAGATGTTGAAGGACAGCTTCTTGTGTGTCCTTCTTGAATTCCCTGCGACTTTATCAGGGTTGTGTTCAACTAAACAGGCGCAGGATTTACACCGAGTACGAACGCTGGATTAAAACAGTCTGTGTGTTAGTGTCAGTCAGTTACACTCCTCATTTGGATCCTCTAGTATTTTCAAAACACTTCAACCAGTCTCTGAGTTCCATTTATGCTGCCTGCATGGAAACAAAGACTTCAAAGAAATTCCCATCACGGTCCAGTTTCATCAGGAGTACTTTTGTTAAAACACTAATGATGCTCTGTATAATCAGCAGCGAGTATAAACTGACCCGTTATGACTCTCTGGGCTTCATACGGTTCCATGTAGCCGTTGTTCTCACAGGGAACAGGTCTGTGGTCTGGTTCTAGTCGGTGGTCTAATCGAGCGTCAAATGGATCTGAATAGTCTGTGTCTCCAGCCAGTGGAGCGGAAGGAACTACCTGCAGGAGAAACACACACACACACACACACACATAGTCATGGAAACAAGTTCAATTTCACAGAGAACATGTATCTGCTATCCTCGAGAAACCATACACTTTCTTGGGTTACCTTTACTGGACTACAGTATTCAGCATGTGAATGCATCTTACTCTTTAGGATTATCGTATTTTTTAAATGGTAGAAATCTATCAATTGTTGAAATTGTATTTAGCGTGTTGTACAAACAACAGCTCCAATCAAAACTCTAGAGGAGGAAAAGCAACCTTTAGTCAAGCGATCATATCCATAAATCCAAGTTGACCTAACTGTGTGTGTCAAAACATTTCACAAGGAAATGTTTTACACCCACGCTGACCGTTCACTTTGATGAAAAGAAACACTGAAAGTAAGTAAACAAGACAAAAAGCCTTTGTCTTGTCTTTTCCTACGAGAGCAGCTAAAAACAGTGGCCAATGACAACAACAACACATTAATGTGTGTAACTTCATTTCACCTCAGCACCTTCAACCTAAAATATCATCTCAAAGCCCAGCATGTGTGTGTGCAGTCTTAGACCTCAGGTCAGATGCCTGACCAGTGTCTGACGGAGGGCAGTGAATTAGTCTAGAGCTGACCAGCTGACTGAGACAATGGTCAAATTAAATGTGTGTGTTTGTGGACTGATTATTATTATTGTGTGTTCACTGTAGTGTTAAAAGAAATACTCCATGAGTTCTGACTAAAATACCCCCACTGTGTGAAGTAATATTTAGAGACATACACCTGAATAATGACATCATTTGGATTGATGACAAATAAAAACACATACGTCTACCTGCTGTTACTGTGGTTCCTGTTCCAGCAACAAACAGAAACAGATAATGAAAAAAAAATGCAATTTATGCAATTAATCATGATAATGGAGGGTAATGATTAATTGTGGTTTTACCACAGTTACCCTCATTAATCAAATGAAAAAAAAATGAACATCCCTGATATATTAGGTGTGTATATATATATATATATACAGTTCTTCTGTCAGAACTGCCCTCTGACAAAGGAATCACTGTAGTAAAGCTCGGTTCTCCAAATCCTGCACGGCAACTCGCACCCTTTGCAAAATGACATCCTAATCCCATGTTGATTCAGTAACAGGTTTTGCCGCCGAAGCAAGTGAATCTGCAATGTTAATTAGAGCGAGGACGTTCCCACAGACCCTGGGAAATTAATGAGAATTGGGTAGAGGGCAAAGCTATTGACTTCAGTTAAGACTATTACTTCAATCCACTGCAGGCGTTTCTGTACTTGTAGCAGTTTTCATGATTGGAGTCATGGATCTAACTGCAGGGATTAGAAAAAAGAAAAAAAAAATCCCCCCAAACTTACTCAGCATGTGTGAGCTGAATTAATGTGCAGAGTATTTTCTCTCTTGAAAACCCAGCTCCAGCTCCTCGCAATCATCTTGTTCTTTTCTCTCCCAGCACTGATGACACACACGGCGCTGCAGTACTGATGACACACCACACATGGCCGGAGCATAAATTACACCTCCACAAACGTATGGCTGCGTCACATCCATATATGCTGTGCTGTATGTGACCCCTCACATGTGCTGATGAAGGGGTCCCTCTCTGCCAGCAAAGCCAAAGCCCATTCATTATTAATGGACGGACATAAACCCAGGGGACTGTGACCCTCGACCACTCCGTGGTCCACTAAGGCCATCAATTACACTTCCTCCCATCAGAGGCAGCAACTTTACCTGTCGCCTGGGATGAAATGTGATTCATGTAAACAATACATTTTTGTGACGTACATTAGCGTCACGGGCTCGCTCATTGAATCTGATCAATAAAGCTGTCATGTTGATGAAAACAGGCAAAGAGGGAACACAAGTGTGTCCTTCCTCTGTACTTCCCTTCATTCCTCCCTCTCTCCTCCCTCACAAGACCCCGGCCACATAAAAATCTTTCATTCATCATCACTGGCTCACTGCTTTCAACACGAATAAGAAGGAGAGACGGAGGCTCTTACGGGCTCCTGCTGGTCTTCCAAAGACAGACTACTGAGGAGGATTTTGGTGCGTCCCAGCTCCTGAGAGTCCACTTTGATCAGTCTGTGCTTGGGAGACTTCCCGTCCACACACTTCATGGGAGAGCCATACACCGGCGTTCCCGGATCTGAAGTACCGCACTCTCCCCTGAATCTGTTCTCAGGGTCCTCGTAGGGGTCCTCGAAGTCCAAGTCTCTCTGGAGTCTGTACGCCTTGAGGATCTCACTCTCGGTGTAGTCCGGTGTGGGCGGCTGCGGCGGCACCTTCCTGCTGCCAAAGCTCAGGTAGTCTTTCAGCCACTTTGCCATTGCGGCTCGCTTCAAAAAGGTGCTCCGTGTGTGTGCTGGATCTAGAGCAGGAAGCTGATGAGGAGCAGAGGGAACAAACAAAGAGACTGTTGATACTCTGACCTGGGGACTTGACCTCTGGGGCTCAGTTTAAAGTACAAAAATCAGGTGCTGTTAAGTCCTTTTAAATATTCTGACACGCTCATTGTTTAGAACAACTTCTTGCAGTCAAAGCAATGTAAGGCTGGGCGCGTGCACGTGCGTCGCACTGACATTAAACTGCACCAACAGATGGGCTTTAGGCGCAGCTTTTGTTTCACGCAGGAACCTAAACTGGCATCTGGACTTTGCCCCAAGGCTGGAGTTTGGTTTCACACTCCTGTAATAAAGTCCGACATGGCTGGTTGATTTAGAAAGAAGACGAAGGCTGGGTGAGGAAGGAACGTAGCATAAAATAACGTTTTTAACAATAAATATTCTTTTTCTCCAATATACGTTTACTGTGTAGTTTAGCCTAACCATATGTAGAAAGTTCACAAGAAGGATAGAACTGACAACTTCTCACCACAAATCATTGTTGATTCAACAACCGTCGGAGCTTTGCGATCTTAAGACACTACTACTACTACTACTACTACTACTACTACTACTACTACTCACCAAATCTACTGCCACCTTGGACGCTTAACTCCACGTTTCTTCATGTCCATGACAAGCGAACCGCGCGGAGAGGAAATAAATCCCCGAACGCCTTTTTTATTCCAAGAACCAAAAACAAATCACAGAGAAAAACACATCGGCAGCAACAGCTCTCCTGGAACAAAACACGAGCGCTGAGACGCGCCGGAGATCCTCCACCTACTGACGGAGAAGGTAGGAGTGAAGAGAGCGACAACAGCAGCACGAGCAGCAGGAGCAGCAACTCCACAGAGCGATTAAAGGGGAGGCGCTTCAGTCCCTGAGGATCATCCTCCTACTCCCTTTCTCAGTCAGCCGACCGTTCATTCATTGAAATATCTGCACACACTGACTGCTATCACGCACACACTCACGCACACGCGCTCCGTTGGAGTCAGAAGTGTCTGAAAACAAACCAAGAACAGGAGGGGGGTGTTGGAGTTAGGGTAGACTTCCCAGTCTAACCACTGAGGCTGTGTATTATTTATTATCTCTACTTCACTGGGGAGATGTTACTTTTGTTCTAAATTTTGTTCTTTCTTTCAAACAGTACCTACAACTCCAACATCCTCGTGTGTTGGGCTGAAAGAATCATTTTTTCTCTTGGCTCTCCAAGGGATTGTGGAGGAAATATGGAAATCTAATTCTCAACAGAGATGGAGTGGATTTCCATATTAATTGACTGGTTTCCTGTGAAGTGTTGTCATGTATCACGTTGTTACAGGCCTGGACTGCTGGGGGCAATCACCATAGTTATATCTGCTATTTCTTTCTTTATTCCTTCCTTCCTTCCTTCTTTCTTTCTTTCTTTTTTCCTTCCTTGCTTCCCTTCTTTCTTTCTTTCTTTCTTTCTTTCCTTCTTTCTTTCTTCATTCCTTTCTTCACTTCAGTCCTCTTTCTCTCACCAGTTTCTTCATTTTCTTTTTCCCTCTTGTGACACCTGTAGCTTGGAGAAGCCGACTCCATATATTGCCTTATACTGTACCATTTAGCTCTACAATCGTTTTTGGTATTTCCTTCTATATACTACTAAATATAATATGGTTTCTACCAGAAAATCCTCCTGTCACAAAGGTGTTTTTTGTGGTTGTCACTTGTTCAGCTTTTAGATCCACTGAAGCAAAATCTGTGATCTGTGAAACGTGGCCATAACAGTGAATCTGAAGTTGAAGTATCTTGCTCATCGCCTTTAAGTCACATTATCCCGGTGACAACTGTATAATGCAGTGCAGTGACTAAGGTCCATTTACGTCTGTTCACAGAGCGTGAACGGGCCTTTCCTTCTTCTTTACGACACCCATGAGCTCACTCTCTCCCGGGGGTGGGAGGGTGGATGACGTGATAGAGTTAGAATCCCATCAAGGACTCACTCTGCATGAGACCAAAAATGTGAAGTCAGTGATTAAATCAGCTCCAGTGTAGAACAGTTAAAATGAGGAGAAGGTCGTTCTCACGACACAGGCCAATAAGAGCCTGTCGAGTCACAGAGATCCTTGGTGGAAACATTCTCTGCAGATGTCACATTTTTTGGACACTTGAAGTTATGAAATGATAAGGAAGGGGAATTGTTTATCACAAAAAGCACTCACTTGTTTAATGTTTTCTCTGCTTGAAGCCACATATTCTTCAACGCTGACACTGATGTCAAGGATCATTCATCCAACGAGGTTTGTAACCTCACTCTTCCTTTCCTCCTCTTCCCACAGCCTTTCATTCCTCCTTCCTTCACTTGTTCATCCCCCACTCTCACTTTCCTTCACACAGTCAAGGTTAGACACAGAATAGCAGCAAAAGTCTGGAAGAAAATGGGAAAATGTGGGTTGTGAAAATCGACTAGAGGATGACATGAAGAAATGGAGTGAAAAGTGAAAAGTCTGGATCTATCAGACACATACACACCAAAGGATGGAGCAACACATCAATTATTTCACTGTTTTCACGCAAAAACACAGTTGTACACAAGCCCAAGATTTAATTGGATTCTTCAGAACGAAGAAGGTACCGTGCATGGGAAAAATCACACAACTGAAAAAATGTTTCCTCGTTAAAAGTGTCTAAATATGGATGTGACATATTTGTCTGAACTGCACCAACATGTTTCCTTGTTTATTTCCAATCTGTGTATTGTATGGATGTTTTCCAAAAGTCTCGTATTCTGGGTTTAATTCAAATCGATCTTTTCTTTGAGGTTGAATAAATCGATAGAAAAAAAAAAACAAGTGTTTGTGAGAATTCCTTCTGCAATACACTTACTGCCACCATCCGATGATTTGTGTGAATTACAGGTATGCTTTTTTGAAAATATATCAAAATCCATAAAAATCCATAATTAGTTAAAAGTCGAATGATGTTTGTACTGAGTCTTACTTTGACATCGACCAGGGTGGACAGGAATGGAAATGAGCAGATAAATATAGTAGAAAAAAATCGAAATAGCATCTATAGAACAGGGACACTACATTAACACTATGAGTAAGTATTAAATAAATATGCACAGATGAAGACAAAATTGCTGGTATATTTTGTTAAAAAAATCAAAACAAAAGACAAGATCACTTTTGTAATTATAGGTTTCCTATAATTTCTCTCTATATAATAATATATATAATATAATATATATAATTTATACTTATAATTAATATATTTATATATAAATTATAATGACAATTTATAATATATATATATATAATTTATAATTAGTTTCTATAACTAATAACTGATAGGAAATATAAATACTAATATTTCTATTATTAGGATAGTAATAATAATAATAATAATAATAATAATAATAATTATTATTATTATTATTATTATTAATAATAACTGTTAGGTACACAACACAAACCTAATATCATTGATCACTGACAATCAAATACTGAGCTGGTATTTTGGGCACTGTTGATTGGTCGATGTTGGATGGGGGCGGGTCATAATCTGCTGTCAGCCAGACAGCAGTGACTACAGGGTTTTTTCCCCCTGTGAGCAGCAGCTGATGGGACAGAGGAGACAGTCACCTGAAGCAGGATCGTCCTCCACAGGTAGGCTGCTGGTGGTCTTTGTTCTAAACAACACCGATGGTTCTAGGACTGTAGAAATACTTTGAAATGAATTGTTGTTTTTTTATAATAATGTGTTTCTTTATACAAAAATACTGTTTCATTTGTTTGAATGGAACAATACGAGGTTCAGCCATTAGCTAATTGTTTTGTCTATTTTTTAAAGGCAGTATTTCCAGTGAACATGTGTTTGGTCCCAGCAGGCAAACTTTTCTGACACCAGTTGATTCATCTCCACCTGTGTTTTTATTTTTCATCTAATTTATTCAGTGTACCTGTCGAGACACGAGCCCGTCACAGAATTATGAAGAGTCTTAAGGCCAAGTTTAAGAAGACTGAGGTAAGAGCCATCTGTGGAACAACATGTGGAACTCTACGCTTGAAAGGACTTAGAAGTGGCACACCTGCTTTCTCTGCACTGCTCACAAATTATTTTAGTGAAAACAAGCTGTGTTCTAACCGGGCTATTGAAGTGCTCATGTGCTTTACATAAAGAGTCACTGAGCAGCAGCGGCGGCAGCAGCAGGGGAGCAGGTCTGTCTTCAGTCTGTTGCTATAACCTCACATCTCAGGTAGCCTTCAATTATTCACATGTATGTGCATGTGCACACACACACACACACACACAGCCACAGACGCCCTGCTGTCATGCTGTTGTTGCTACATTACCTTAAAGTAGTAAAACACATGGCAGTGTCTTGGTAAAGTCCATGAAGTTTTGTCCTGTGACACTAAATTTGAACTTTAAATTCACTCGGACCACGAACACTTAACAACCAGGTACAGACAACAGTTAGATAGACATTATTCATAAACTCCTGGGAATCATGATGCAAGACGATCCAAATAAACCCAACCCACCTGAGGGTCGCGACCCAGTCTTTGGGAAACAATGGACAAACAGATGAATGGATGAAGGTAAACTGGATGGATAGATAGATCTATAGATGGTTGGATGAAGGATGGATGGATGGATGGATGATGGATGGGTAGGTATATTAGACAGACCTCTGGATCTGTACACAGTGTAAAGAGCAGACACATGGCCTAGACCAGAGCAGCTGGTCCAGCCTCCTTCTCCTTTTTTGCTGAGTCCTCACATAACACAGGCCCCCACTCTGTAACTGCAGAGGGACTGAGCTGGGACGCCGTTGCCAACAGGGGTACGGAAGCTGACGAAAAACGTATGGAGAAAGATGGTAGGGGCGGGGGGGGAGGAGGAGGGTTGTGCTAGAGAAGAAGTAGAGCTGAAATGAGAATAAAAACTGGGAAGGACAATAAAGTGAGAAGGCAGGTGGAAGAATGTGTGTGTGTTTGTGTGCGCAGTATCTGAGCTGCAGTGGCAGGACTCTCTGTGCCGCTGCTCACTGCAGCTGGAGCAGCCGGGGAGACTGCTGTTTCGGATGCGGACAGGATGGGTGCCATCGAGTGGGACTGTGCGGGGACAGAGTATAGCCTCCTCTGTGTATGTATGTTATAGCTGTGTGACGTGCACTAGGTCTGAGTGTAGAACAGTTCATGGTCAGTGATAGATGTTCAGTCTGCTGTTGAGATGCTGTAGTTAGAGATATTTAAGTCAGATCTGTAAAGTCTGGCTTTACAACATCCAATCAGCTATCAGTCAGTGGGGGCTGTAACTGTGTAACATCGGGGGGTAATTCCCTGTTAGCATCATGGATCCTCAGCAACCTGTTTTTACCCTGATGAGGAGGTTTTGTACCTGTGTCACCCTGCTGCCTCTGCCAGTACGTATCTTCTCTTCCTGTCACTAAACCTCAGCCTCTCTATAAGAACAATAGTCACGTCTTCTCCACTGTTTGTAATAACATTTTTAACAGCAACATAGAGACACGTCGAGGTGCTTCGAATATCTTTCTGTTTATATATTGACATAGTTGTTGGCAGCTGCGTCTCCTGTTTGTTTTCTACATCATCAATCTACCAACACTGTTATGTTTGTGTCATGACACTGAGGTTAAAGTTCAGTCGATCTATTCTCCATCCCTTCACCACTTCTCTGCCGCGCCCCCCCCACCTGACCCCCCTCCTCCCCAGAGTCAGGACTGGTGTAAAAGTGACGACAGACTCCTGCAGGCTGTGGAGCAGAATGAACCAGACAAAGTCTCTGCTCTCATCGTCAAGAAAGGTCTCAGTCCAACCAAACTGGACGCTGAGGGCAAGTCAGCGTGAGTTCATCTGTGGAGTTTTATTACTTTAGACCTTTGGTCTGTGTGAATATAAAATAAATTAAATCACAATTATTTTAACTCATTTTTGTCCATTGATACATCATGTATTAGTATAGCCTTTATAGCAGGACAGAGGCACCAATAAGGGTGGGGTTCAAACTGTGCTTCAGCATAAACAGGTTGTTGTTTTCTGTCCCAGATAAAGTAGGTCAAACCTGGTCTGTAACCACACGTTTGTCTCATGAACTGGTTTTTTGTTTTAGCCTAAAGAGAAAAGTTAACATGTGGCTAATGGTCTGTCTATGTCGACCAGTGATGGATCTGTGCATGATATTTGTCGTTGGCTTCAGCTACACCAGAACCAAAGTCAGTTATTATAAATTGTAATATTTGGAGTCATTTGTTCAAGTCTTTTTTTTTTTTTTAGTTTCCATCTGTGTGCGTCTCGAGGCCATCTAGAATGTCTGGAAGTAATCATTTCTCACGGAGCAGATCTAAACATCCCAGACGGTGCAGGTACTCCATATACAGGGAAAATATTCTATTATTTGTTTTTATCTTCTTATCTAATGCATTTGCATCACAAGTTTCACAGTAACTGCATCACAATGCTCTTTGTTTTTACATGTTTTTAAACCTGCGGAGTGCAGGCTTAAGTGTGCTACATCTTGCGGCCAAAAATGGACAGCCGGAGTGTTTGAAGAGACTTTTGCAGGTGAAAACAGTTTGGATAAAGTTTTAAGAACACATGGCTGCAGAAACAAACTGCAGAAATACAAATCAAATACTGTAATTTTGAACTGTATATTCTCTTTTTTGTGTAATTGTTTCAACAGGAGAGATTAGAAGTAGACTGCACCGACAGCATTGGCAGAACACCTCTTCATCACGCAGGTAATTCTGACGGGATCAGGACAAAGACACCAATAGTCATTTCAGTTTGTATATTATACAGTACTGTGTAGTACTGGTAGCTACCAAAGTACCTGCGTGTGTTTCTGCAGCTGTCAGCGGCTGCTTGTCCTGCACTGAGATACTGTGGGATTTTAAAGCGAATCTGGACGTCCAGGACAACGTGAGTTATAAGGAGCAGAGAGTTGGTTTGGTTAAACGTATGAAATGATAGCGACGCCGTTTCTGTTTATCTGTCTATCTGCCCCTCACAGGACGGGGCCACTCCTCTGATCTTAGCAGCACAGATGAGCAGAGTGGAACTCTGCGTGTTCCTTCTGGGACGAGGTGCCAACGCTAACATACAAGACAAACAAGGAAGGTACTGGGCTGTGAGCCGTCTGGACTTAGTCTCCTACAGCGTACTGTACATTGTTGTGGCTGTTACTGCTTCTTTAGGCCTTTATCAACATTTGGAGGTTGGGCAAAAACAAACAAACAAAAGAAATATATTTTAAATATATTATTTTGAATATTTTGAGTTGAGAACAAAATGTCACTATTATAATGATTGAGTAAATAATTTATCTATTTTTTTTTGTTGATAAAACCTGAGGTCGTTTAAGAACCTGTCTTGGTTTTTATTGCATATTATATTTATAGACACCTGATTTCTGCTCTGATCAGAGTTTTACACCAGATAAAACCAAAACATTTCTTGTCCTCAACACATACTTCCAATGTAGTAAAGTAGATTTCTAGACCAGTTTGAAAAATAATAATCTTCTAGAAATTCTTACAGATTTGATCTCATGGACAACAAGGTTGTTTTTGTCCCTTTTAATTTCACAGCAATGACCCCATCAGTGTATTTACTCTTTATGCCCACAATAAAATCTAAAAGATCAAAAGTCTTAAATTAGTCTTGTTTCTGATTCTGAATCACAGATCTGCACTGATGCTGGCCTGTGAGAGTGACAGTGTTGAAACTGTGGCGGCTCTGCTGAGGGGCGGGGCCAACACGCAGCTGGTTGATGACCTCGGACACAAAGCTGCTGACTACAGCGTCGCCACAGGCAACCAGGGTGTAGTGCGGATGTTACGGGATGGAGTTCCTCCAGGTACAGTACTGGTCTCTGAGACATTTCTTCATCGTCTAAAGAGGTACGGGTCAAGTTTTTTAGTTTGCTAAAAGAAAATGGTAACTGAAACAGCAGAGAGGATGTCAGAACCATCTGAGTGATCTGACGAGAAGGCAGAACCTCTGTAGTTTTGTGGCCGTGCAGCCCTTCTCTGGATCGCAGCTGTAATAGCCTGTAATAAGACCGTAACTGGAGGACGCTGATCAAGGGGACAGCTGGGCGTGATTGTAAAGTGGTGCTGAAAAAAGACCAGAAGAAAGGAGCCTTTTACTTTTATCTCTCAACAAAGACACGTACATATGGAAAGCAGATGTGACAAAAGTAAAGAGTGTCATGTGTTCTCACGAGGTCTGATAACTCGAATTTTGATTTTGTAGTTGTGGATTTCTGTTAGCTTCACCACGGGAAGATAAAGACTGTTTGTTAGACCTGAGCACCACACTGTATGGGTTAAAGTATCCTGTGCTGTTTGTCTTTTCCCTCTGTAAACGTAGCTGCAGAGGGCACATGTGTGGAGGTAAGATCGCGCAGCTTTGTGTGACATCATTCCCTCCATAGATGAGATCATCGCTCATTATAGACATTATTGTTTTGCTGCATGTTTTCCAACATAAGGTCATTGTTCTCTCCCCCGGGTTCATTCTTCCCTCTCTCTGGCCCCGTCTTTTATCTTAACTTTCATGCACATTTCCATTTGAGTTGAGCCTGACCTCCACTTGTCTGTCATCTCATCACTAACCCACATGCAGCCCACCCCAGTCCCCTCTGGCGCCTCATCAGTGCAGGGGGGGACAACCCACCGCAAACGGAAAGCTCCCCCACCTCCTCGTTCACCTCTTCAGGTAACACAGCATAATCATCTCAGTGAAATCAACGTTCACTGTACTGTAGTACACGTACAGAAAAATACTTGCTTTACATTTTATGTCATGCATAACAGCTAAGTTGCTAAAAGGAATGTTGCTAAAATCATTTTCTGCACCATCTATTGGGGAAACGTGGGTATTGCAGGTAAAAGGCAGAAGTATAATGATATAAATAAAATATATAATTGGAAAAAGTTATTTGAAAAAGGCTGGATTAAAAAGCTGAACGGGCCGCATCCGGCCCTCGGGCCTTAGTTTGGTCATTCCTGATCTACAGTAAATTAATGCTGTGTGCAGAATATCACTAATTAGCAACCTTTTCTTTTTGGAAATAATAACTGCATCCAACCAGATTTGCTACTCCTGCCTTCCTGTAGGGGGGGCTCTGGACAAAATTATAACAAACTAGTTGACAATATTGTTCAATCTTAGAAAACTCTGTCAGCGCTTTGTAATCAGTGACACTAAAGGACGCAGTTTTCCTTAGAGTAGCATTACTGCCACCTACTGGTTTTACTTCCATCCTAAGACTCTAAAACCCCCCAGACACTTAGCAGCCCATTAAAATGGCTGACATTCTTACTTTTGCCTAAAGAGATTAAAACAAATCCACCGATTCTCTTGTGTAAATAATTAGTAAAACACAGTTCATGTTTTTTTCCCCATCATGTAGCTCCCCAGTCTTACTCCCTCACCACAGCCACCAAGTCCTGCCCCCCGGGGCAAGTCTCCTGAGGCTCAGTCCCCCTCACCGTCCCCGCAGCCTCCAGAACCATCAGCTCAGGTCGGTGACCAGAATCTATTTCTCGTGTCAGCCATAGTCGTGCAGACGCGATGATGTTTTGATATGATTTTGATGGAGTTAGGTAGAAGATGAGGAGGTGTTCGAGGAGATCCGCAGACTCCGTCTGGAGAGAGGCCGTCTGCTCCAGAAAATCAAAACTCTGGAACAGCAGCAGCAGAGCGCCGTGTCTGCCTTGGAGGAGGTACTGCACACTCCACATTAGACACATGTAAACACGAGGCTTGGTGTCTTCTCGGTGGAGGTTTCTTTACCCGCTCTACGTCCATGTGCACTGCAGTTGTCCCAGCTGAGACAGAGACTTGAAAAGGCGGAGGCGGAAAGGGACAAGCTGCTGGAGGAGCTGAAAGGAGGTCACGGTTTAGGGGCCAGCGACTCTGACGACATTGATGAAATGCTGGACTTTCCAGGTACGTGGCCTGTGTGTAGCGTCTGAAGTACTGACACTGACGCTGCTGTCCATGAGACATCAGAACTGATTGTTACTGTTGTTTGATTGTTACTGTTTGATTGTTACTGGTTTTTCTTGGGCTTTCTCACTAGAGAAGCTCCTCTCCAAGCGCTCCAGGGTGTCACCGGCTCAGGAGGAGGACGCTGACTCAGCCAGTCCTCCTCCTCCTCCTCCTCCTCCTCCTGCAGACAATGGAATTCTTTTGGAGCTGCGTAAACATATAGAGGAGCTGACGTCTCAGAACTCTGAACTGGTTCTGAAAGTGCAGGTAAATTCAAATAGAGCAGCAGATAAATACAGAAACAGATAACAGGTCTGTCTCCGTTGTCCTTCTGTTTTTGTCTCTGATCTCCTCTCCCTCCCTTTACACCCCCACAGAGACAGGGAGAAAGTCTGAAGCCTCTTAAAGAGGTTCAGATAATTCAATTGGCACAGTCAAGGGATTATTAAATGTTTGTCTGTCAGGACGTGGAGACACCATTACAGGGCCCAGTGTCTCGTTTCAAACGTTAGTCATGACCACTTAACTTTATGATGCTGCTCTGTGCTGCACTAATGCACACAGGCACTTGTGTTCATGCAAGTAAAAATAGCACATCAGCAGAGAGAGGAAGAAGTTTCACCGTCATCCCTGTCCAACTGGGTCGTGTTGGTTTAGTCACGTCTGAGTTGTGTTCCATGTTGTGTGTTTAGATTTCTACTGTTTTAGACAAAAGGGCTGAAGCTAAGACCTTAAAGCTAACATCTAACATAAGAAACAGCTCACTGTGATTAACTACAACACATGGACCAGTCTGTCAGAAGATAACACACATCAGGGGCAAAATGGAGGCACGGTGTTGTTTGTGACTAAAGGGAGAGATTTGTTTTATACCAAGGCTTCGTCTACATGGGTTTTAATGTGGAAATTACGCTGACACACAGATGGCAACGATTTTTCAGTAAGAAAATCATGTGACCAATGCAGCGGTCAGGGAGGAAAATATTCCAACTGATCGATCTGACTGTCTGATCACAGACGAACCTGCAGCATTCACAAACTGAATAAACCAAACCACACAGTGGACCTGTCCACACACTGTCTTGAACTTTGGTCAAACGTATTCTCTGTGTCGGCTCCAGATGCTGGAGATGTTTGAGAAGGACGACACAGACATGCAGCCCTCCAGTCCAGACTCTGTCCCTCTAGCCCAGTATGAGACGCTGAGGAAGGAATTTGAAGCCCTGCAGGAGCGTCTGTCCCAGGCCAACGCCTCAGAGCAGACCTCCAGTGTGGCGGAGGAGTGGTGAGACTGACTCATTCTATCACTCATTTGAAAAGTATTGGCAGACATTATTGGCTGAAACAGACATTTGTTCCAAAAATGTGCCTGGGTCAGCTTCAAATCCGCAGCAGTATCTCATCTCCGCTTCTGCCAAGGCTCTTTTTAAAAGTGCTGAGCGTTAAAATCGTCTCTGCAGCATCGAGGCTGTATGATCTTATTTTAGCATTTCTGTCGACTACGTCATGACCAACTCCACCGTGGGATGGTACAGTGTACAGTTTGTATAATAAAACACTACAGGAAATTAGTGTTAGCTCTTGTTAGCATTGGAACTCTAATAATTTTCAGTCAAGCCAAATGGTCCAGGAAGGACGTGAATCCAAAAATGCTGAGCAAAACAAGGTCACAAAGAGGCTGAGTCATGAAGTCCGATACAAGGAGAATGGGTGTTTTATCCTGGGTACAGGGAATTATGTGACAAAAAGTCAGCAAACACAATAGGGCAGGGGTAAAAAATATTTAGAGAATAAATTAGCAAAAACACGAGTGTCAGAAAATTCTGGTCCCACAGGGAAAACAGGTGCAAATCCCACAAGTCAAATGGGAAGTAACTAACTATAAACAGTAGGCAGGTGAGGACGTTACCAGGAGAAATAAAAGATTGAAAATTGAAAAGAAAAAAAAATCACATAAGGAACAAGAGTCCAACAAATCAGTCCATAAAATAAACAGGAAGCATTGTATCCATACAACCGAAGGAGAGACGAGTATAACTGAACAAAAAGTATTAAAATATTTGTCAAATCGATAATGAGAGCTAAGAGGGAAATGATCTAAATGTTGGTAGTGGTCTTGAAAATAAGGTTTATCGTCCTGATATAAAGACCCTGTTTGTAAAAATATGTAATATTGTAAATATATATATATATATATACACACACATACATACACACACATATATACTTACAGTACATACACACATGCATATATATATATCCTACATTTTGTTTTTACTTGCCTACAAAACTAAAATTTCCTACATTTTGTTTTTTACTTGCCTACAAAACTAAAATTTACCTGATGTAAAATTTGCTTAAAAACATGCAGACCAGAGTTGACTCTAGAAGGCCCTAAAATCTAAAGAGCCTGAGAGATTTGCCCAGGAAAAACGGGCATTAATATATTAAAATATATATGTATAATAATATAAAAATTGTTGTGTTTTTTTTTTTTTTTTGCAGTGGCGATGACACATCTCAGGAGGGAAACAGAAACGCAGAGCTCTCAGAGGCTTTAAAGGAGAAGCTGCGTGAGATGGAGGAACAGTTGGCCTCCTCCAAGTCAGAACTGGAGGAGCTGAAGGAGCAGATGCGTCTCGGGGTTCTTTCCGTGGAGTGTGCCGAGGAGGATTCTGTTGTGGCAGGTGCTGGCACTGAAGGAGGCTCAGGAGCTGCTGCAGAGGAGGCACAGCAGCTGAGAGCAAGGGTGACAGAGCTGGAGGAGGAGCTTGCCAAAACGCAGGCTGAGGGAGGAGGTCAGAGCAGCCCGGACAGTAACACAGTCAAACAGCTGACAGAGAAAGTGAAGGAACTCCAGGCTGCACTGGCACAGAAGGAGTCTGTGAGGGAGGAGGTGCAGGGAGAGGAAAAAGACACAGACACAGTCAAGTGTCTTCGAGATAAAGTGGCCGAGTTGGAGGCAGCCCTGGCAGAGAGATCAGGAAAAGAAGGAGGAGGAGGAGGAGGAGGAGGAGGAGCAAACGATGGAGATCAGGTTCACCGTCTCCAGCAGCGGGTGGGAGAGCTCGAGAGCGAGCTCAGGAAGTGTGTGCCACGCTCCGAACTGGAGGAGGTGCAGGTGACTTTAGGGCTTCAGTGTGAGCAGCTGGCAAGGGAGAGGGCAGATGTGGCCAGAAGGCTGAACGATGCTCTGCTAGAGCTGGAGAGACTGAGGCCTCCAGCCAGTGGAGATGATGAGGATGATGAAGAGGAGGAGGAGCACTCAGGGGGGTCAGAGCCCTCAGTGACATCAGGTGATAAATCTCTTAAGATGTACTGGGAGTAGTTATTCAAACCATGATGTATTTTCATATGAATATAAATATAAATCTGGACGTGTTCCTCCAACCAGACATCTCCAGACGCACTCTGGACGTGGTGAGAGAAGAACTGGAGGTGGCGAGACAGGAAGCAGCTCAGGCTTTGGACTATCTGTGTGCGGAACGAGAGGGGAGGGCACAGGAAGCCCTGCAGCTTAAAGATGCAGTGCCACTTTCAAAACACAGGGAGGCGCTGTCTGCAGTGTCAGAGCAGCTGGCCCAAACACTACAGGAGCTCCAGGAGGAGAAGAAGCTTCGCACCAAAGCTGAGGAGCACGCGGCCTCCTTTGAGGCCAAACTGCTGGGCCTGAAGGACGCCGTACCGAGAGAGGAGTTTGACAAATTAAAGGTCAGCGGGAAAACGTTAAATTATATACATCAGTCGGCTTTTGTTGTATAAATAATTATATATTATTATATATATAATAATTAACCTCCCAAAGAATGACCGTGTTTAGAGGAAAAGGTACGACTTCTTTTCAGTCAAATATTTTATTGACTAATATACTTAGTCAATAAAAGACAGAATATAAATAACATTAAATATATATATTTACATTTTAGTATGGTACTAGTTTACCTCATTTTAGTTGTTACTCGACATTCAGTGCTGTGATTTGTCACGTTATCTCACAGTCAGAACTACAGCTCACCCTGCGATGGAGATCAGGTTCACCGTCTCCAGCAGCGGGTGGGAGAGCTCGAGAGCGAGCTCAGGAAGTGTGTGCCACGCTCCGAACTGGAGGAGGTGCAGGTGACTTTAGGGCTTCAGTGTGAGCAGCTGGCAAGGGAGAGGGCAGATGTGGCCAGAAGGCTGAACGATGCTCTGCTAGAGCTGGAGAGACTGAGGCCTCCAGCCAGTGGAGATGATGAGGATGATGAAGAGGAGGAGGAGCACTCAGGGGGGTCAGAGCCCTCAGTGACATCAGGTGATAAATCTCTTAAGATGTACTGGGAGTAGTTATTCAAACCATGATGTATTTTCATATGAATATAAATATAAATCTGGACGTGTTCCTCCAACCAGACATCTCCAGACGCACTCTGGACGTGGTGAGAGAAGAACTGGAGGTGGCGAGACAGGAAGCAGCTCAGGCTTTGGACTATCTGTGTGCGGAACGAGAGGGGAGGGCACAGGAAGCCCTGCAGCTTAAAGATGCAGTGCCACTTTCAAAACACAGGGAGGCGCTGTCTGCAGTGTCAGAGCAGCTGGCCCAAACACTACAGGAGCTCCAGGAGGAGAAGAAGCTTCGCACCAAAGCTGAGGAGCACGCGGCCTCCTTTGAGGCCAAACTGCTGGGCCTGAAGGACGCCGTACCGAGAGAGGAGTTTGACAAATTAAAGGTCAGCGGGAAAACGTTAAATTATATACATCAGTCGGCTTTTGTTGTATAAATAATTATATATTATTATATATATAATAATTAACCTCCCAAAGAATGACCGTGTTTAGAGGAAAAGGTACGACTTCTTTTCAGTCAAATATTTTATTGACTAATATACTTAGTCAATAAAAGACAGAATATAAATAACATTAAATATATATATTTACATTTTAGTATGGTACTAGTTTACCTCATTTTAGTTGTTACTCGACATTCAGTGCTGTGATTTGTCACGTTATCTCACAGTCAGAACTACAGCTCACCCTGCAGGCCAGTGAAAGTAGTGCAGTGGCAGCAAAGGACGCACTTACCGACAAGGAGCTGGAGCTGAGAGAACTGAAGTCTCAGAAGGCGGCAGAGCAGGGTCTGATCTCCAAGGAGGACCATGAGGCCTTGCGGCTCTCCATGCAGGCTGAAATCAACGCCACCACGGCTCGTTTAAATGATCTGACCAGAAAACATGAGAAGACCTGCACTGAGGTGAGTGGGTTATTGTTGCTGCCCTCTGCTGTCATTTCTAATGTCATCGTCAGAATAAGAGCCGTCACGTCTGCTCCAAGTGAGCCGTGGTCCGTGAACGCCTCCTATTCTGCGCCTACATAATTTACAACTGTATTACTTTCTCCATTGACCTCCGCTGCCCCTTTCATTGACCTCTGTGAATATGTGCTCACTGATGCAGTGGAGTTGTATTCATTGGCTGTAGGATCAGAGTCCACAAATGTCATTTTAGCTGCCATTGTTTCAACATGCTAAAGGGAAACCTGTCTGAGTTAGGTTGACAAGGAGCCAGTGAAATATATTTGATATCATCCCATCACAAGCTACAGATCCTTACACCGTGTTTAACAATTATTACCAAACCAAAAAGAAACAGCATTAATATTAAAAGCAAGTGTTTGTGCATCATCTTTGGATCAAACACAGAAGGATTTTATAAAGATTGATGACAGTTGTGTAGAAAACTCCCTTGAACTGAAGCATTAAATATTTTTATTTTTCTAATATTTTATTTTTCAATAAGGTGCAAACTAAGGATTGAATAGACTATTATGGGATTCAAAATTAAGAATTTTCATTGCCCATAAATAACCAAAAAAATCACAGAGAAATACAGACAGTAAGGTTGGTGCAGGACTGGAACACCAGGCAGATTGGATGGAAGTTTCAAACTGACCTTGAATGAATAATCAATGAATGCAGACAAAACAGAAACTTGGAAAGAGTCCAGTGGGGCAGGAAAAAAACCACCAAACTGTCAGACTCAGGGTCAGAAAAACTGTCCAGAACTAAAAACACAAAGGCAAAAATCTAGAAGTTTAACACTGGTTCATTCACCTGTAGAAGAGCCAAACTGGCAGGAGAGGCAAGGAAGTAGCAGGTGTGGATACACAGAGTTAACAAGGCACAGGTGGAGGAGTTTGGGAAATCACCAGTGAGGACAACACAGTAGGCGGGAACAGGAAGTGACTGAGGTGTAGACACAGGAGAGCAGGAAGTGGAGCAACAGAGAGACAGCAAACTGAACTCAAATGATCATGTGACTGAACAGAGTGAAGGGAGACAGGATGGTGTCGAGGTGTGTGGTAGGAATGATAGATTAAAATGATCGTTAAAAAAAACAACTTCTGTACTGTCCTCATTTGTGAAGTGTCAGGATGACGCTGGTGGTTTTACTGGTCTAGGTGTTTCAGGTGCAGCGGGAGGCGCTCTTTAACAAAAGTGAGCGGCAGGTTGCTGAGACCCAGCTGGCTGCAGTGCAGCAGGAACTCAGGGAGCTAAAGGCGACGTCCAACCACATCCAGGAGCTCCACAGAAACATTCAGGAATCTCAAGGTCTGGTCAAGGAGAAGGACCGGAAGGTAACTGACCGCAGCTCTGCCCCCGACCCTCAGCTTACTGCTTTTGATTCAAAGTGAGTGGATTGCTCTGATGTGTGTGCGTTTGTTCAGATAACGGAACTTTCCAAGGAAGTGTTCCGTCTGAAGGAGGCTTTAGGAGCTCTGTCGCCTCCTCTTGGCATCACATCCTCCTCCTTATCAGTTTCCAGCCATCCTGGAAACCCTGGACAACAAATGGCCCTGCAGAACAGGGTCTCTATACTCACCCAGCAGCTCCAGGTGTGAAGCTTTCAAAGATATTCATTTTCTATTTAATCTTAAATAAAAACAGCACCCTTCTCACTAACCACCGATCTTCTCTGCAGGACTGGGAGAGAAAACACAAACAGGTGGTCACAGTGTACCGCTCTCATTTACTGGCAGCTGTGCAGGTCAGTTGAAGGCACATGCCGCAGCACAAAGTAAGACGAGCTATAAAAAGGCGATGTAATAGAGAGAGATTTCTCTGTGTGGCCGTTCGCTGGACTGTGAGCGGCGCTGACAACATCATCCGCCTTTGTCCAGGCAATAAAGAGCGGACGGTCTTAGTCCAGCTTCTCTCCTTACCAGAGGATGAAATTACAGGAGAAGGCTGGATCACATTCTATAACACTCTCAGTTTCATCATACAGTATTTTAACTATATCTGTACAGTATGTCATTATATCTTTATTTACTGTATCTGTTTATTTTAGTTAAAAGTTATTTTGTTAAAATGCATTCTTGGAATTAATCCAATCAATTTATTTAACCCATTAAACCCAGCATTAGCTGAATGTAAAGATCCACTATCTCACAGTTGCTGACTGTACTGGACATAAGTGTACCACTGCAGTAATGCTTGAATGATAACAGGCCTCCAGTCTCTGGGTGGCGTGAAAACATTTCTGTCCACAAGGGGGGGCATGACAGAAATTCAATTGAGAACCACTGCTGACAATGAAACATACTTTGTCATTTTAGCATGCTGTGGGAAGGACTTACTGTTTTTATGATTCAACAGGAGTTAAGCGGCCGACTGACACAACAGTCAGGACGGTTGTGAGGGAGTGTAGACTGGTTAGTATGGTGGTCTCTCCGTAGTTTTGAAGGAAACCCTCGACACGTTCTACACGCCATCGTCGAGATGCATTAACAAACTCTAAGAAGCTAATTCTGAGATCGATGCATGCTCCCTGGAATGTTGTCCATTACATCGACATAAACCTCCATGTTTTCCAGGGTCGAATGGATGAAGAAGTGCAGGAGCTTCTTCTGCAGATCTTGAGGATGTCCAAACAGGGACAATGAGCTGCAGAACATGAAGCGGAGTTTCTCCACTGGCCAGGAATCAAGCAACTCTACTGGGGATATAATAATAGAAATCCCAGCTCCAACGCCAAATACAACTGATCTGAGATCACACATAGCTGCATGCATTCAATACAGTAACCTAACAACCAAACTGAGCGATGGGAAGTACAGTATGTACCTAACTAGCTGTAAGAGTGTGAATGTAGACGCAGGGTGTTTTTTTTTTTAGAATAGATAGAATCTGATTGTAAGAAGTGACTTGATTTTTTTTATATTCTGTTGTAATAATAAAAAAATGAAAAATAATTTAGTTGTGTATTTCCTCCTGTTTTTAAAGCAGCAGCTTCTCTGCTGAGCCTGGTGTCTATTTTCAGGTAATGGAAATCTGAAGCATGGCTGTAGCATGTGTGTATTAATGGTTGAACAGCTGGGCATGGTGTATACTGCTGTACTGGCTCTCAGACTCAACATTTATACAGACTCACGAACAACAAAAGTTTATATGTGGGAAAATTCCACTCAAATCAGAGAAGGAAATCATATGTAAAACACCTAAAATCCATCTAGATTTCACCTAGTGTTGCCGTGTATTTCATCTTTGTGCATTTATAAAGCTTCAGTTGAGACAGAGAATCCTAATTCAGAGAACCGATTCTGCACAAGCTCAAAAACAGTGTAGAGTTTGTGTGATGAACTGACCCGTCTGCAGTCCAGAAATGTGGGCTATTAAAGCGACTGCAGCTTCATGAAGAGAGTCAGACAATGGAAACCTTGAGCAGCATGGGTTCTTTATACAACAACAATAGAAAAAAGAAATACTTGAAAAACTGCAACAATTAGTATCTTTTTTAGATTCATTAAAATAAATGAGTGTGTGGTCCTGTGGTTGTTGGTGTGGAGTTTGTGCTGAACTAATGAAAGTGAAGGTTTAATTACATCACAGAATCACAGACTTGACTCTTCAGATTTTTCAGCCATGGTACACTCACCTGTCGAGTCATCTGTTTTTATACATGAACAAACATGAAGAACACCTCTGTCTCAGTGTGAGTGCAGACTGAGGACAGTCCAGGAACTGATCTGTTTCCCTGAGCAGGGACAAACACAGGGTTTACATTCAGGACAAAGTCAAATGATTGTGTAGTTGAGGACGATGACAAGCATCAGCACATTGAGACAGAATCAAACATTGTTCACCCTAGAACAGGAGCAGCGTAGATTACCCTTGACACATAAATAAGAGCTTAATCATCCTGACGTTTGTTCAGTCATTCACTGGCTTGGCAACAAATCTAGTCTTTTGCGTGGAGGGCACATTATACACACAAATGCCTGTCACTGTCGTCATTAAGGCACTGGAAGTGGAAGGAGCTCTGGAGCTACAGGCGTGGATCTGTTGGGTTCTGAAGCATGTGATGTTTATGTTTGATATGAACGTGTGCGCAGTTTGACGGGAACCAAAACACAAAGAACAGAAATTCACGATCAATGTTTAAAATCTCCAGATAAATCGCATTTTTCTGACCTGGGCCTCATACAGATACGACTGCATGGAATAACATGCTCAGACTGTTGTGGATTTAACATAACATAATACCATATACTCAGTGACCACTGACAGACACTCTTAACTGACCAGTTTTGCACTAAAATGATCTTTAAAAACATCAGAACATGAACTCCTCTGTCGATGATGAACTGGCCAAGATACGCATCAACAGTTCCTTCAACCATTGTACGTCAGAAAGGTCACGGTGCGACGATATGACACTTGTTTTGGTACTTTTCCGTGAACATTCACTGAAGTTGGCTCCTCTCTGACGGCTATCAGTGATTGTCAATAATCCAGTCAGACTGATAGATGTGACATCTCAAAAGCGGCATGCTTCAGACGTTTATGCACAGAACAGGGACGGCTGCATGGATCCTGGGAGGTCAAGTTCAGTCGGCTGTTTCTCCCTCGCTACAGTTGTCTTCATATTTACGACAGTGTCAGTCATGTTCATCGTCTTTCAGGTACTGAAAGTATCCATTAGAAAAGAAAGATTTTCTTCAGTTACAGTTTTTATTTCTGATTGCTTAGAAGGGCCAGGCCATCAATCTTTTCTGAAAGAAGGTAAAGGAAACAATTTCAGTCAAAGTAGAAATGATATTTTAACATTTTACATTTTTATACAGTTTATATTTCACTAATGTTCTTCTTGTTGTATTTAATTTAATTCTATTCTTAACCTAGCGTCCCGTCCTGCAGCAGCTGGTTCACTGCTTCCTCCTGACCACCTGTTTGAGGTGGAGCTCACTCTCTGCTGCCACAATAGGAACCTCGTTCTTCAGATGGTACGAGATGAGGTGGCTGATGCTCTCAAATAACATGTCCTTGGTCCGGACCTTTGGAGAAAAAATCAGGAGTTTGTTTTGACGTGCAGTTTTGTAATGAAAAAAGAAAGACATGGAAGCCACGTGACAAGTTAGTTCTTTCTAAATAAATATAGATCTGACTTTCTAAAAATGATGTAGACTGACCAAGGTTTAGTATCTAGTATTATTTCATATGAAGTAGTGAAATTACTCCATTTGGGAATGTGTTTTGTAAATATCCAACAACAAACAATACAGTAGACATTGGGTGTTTTCTAGCTGGTTCATTTCCAGTCTGTGAACTCACCACTCCCTCAGGATCCACCAACAGTAGGTGTTTGGGGAGACCACAGTGCATGCCTGTTAGGACGTACTGTCCCGGGTTGGTGGTGCTCTCCCGGACAAGAAAGTCTCCGTCTCGGACCAGAAGCTTCTCCGCATCTCGTCGACTCATTCTGCTGTGATACCAGGTCTCTCGCCGCAGCTGGTCCTCATTCGGAGCCACAGGGGCTCGGCGGCGTGGCGGGCTGGGCCACTGATCCTCCAGGATCCTAACACCCCCACCGGCAGCCTTGGCACCTCCACCTGAGTTGGACACGATGGAAGCCCCTGCTCCACCTGTGGCCTCGTGGAGCTTCAGCGCGTCCTCAAAGGGCCCTACGAGGACAGTGATGTTCACAAGTGCAAACATTGATAGGATTTATTTTCTACTACAGATGTTTCAGAGCCGGGGTCGGACTCACTCATATCAAACAGATCTTTCTTTGGACTGTCAGGTGCTCTGCTCATCCTCTGTCCACTGAGTCCATGTGCCAGTGAATCCAGGTTCTCCAGGCTCTGGGTGTTAACATACTGATGCTCCTCGTAGTCTCTGCTGCCGGCTCCTTGGCCGTCAGCACACAGGTAACCATCTGACCATCAGTCAAAAAAAAAAAGAAAGACGAACTTTCAATTAATTTTTTTGGTTTAATTATCCCTTACATACTATTGACAAACTAACAGTGATTTGATTCAAGTAGGTTAAACACTCCATTTGATCCTCCAAAGACCATTTTAATGTTATCTCTGCCTCTTTACTAATGTAACCTGAATGTTACTGAATGTATGTAAACATTTAAAATAAGTGTAATTGATGTATGTCCTATGTTAGCAAAACACAGTGCTTACATTAGAGATGCGAGTAAATACTTTCATGTTTTTATTTGTTTTGGTTCTTTTTCTTTCTCTTTAAAAAGCCAATTGTTTAACATTACGAGAAACTACAAACTATACTGCGTTCGCTGCAACTGACAAACAAGTAGCAGCTAATCCTGCTGTTAGTTGTACCAGCTCACGGCCACTAGGTGTCTCACCTGAGCTGCTTGTCTCAGTGTCCCAGTGCAGCTCATAACACAACTGTCCAGGCGGATAGGACACAGGCTCCCTCCGAACTGCTGAAGCCATCTGCAACAAACATATCTGTCAGTTTTATTTCTTTGTGGAACATCATTTGAGTAGATAATATTTGTCTTCACCCAGGAGTAATGTTTTTATTTCCCCGTATCTCTGACAACAAAGATGCAGACACACCAGGCTAAAACTCACGTGGGCTGTAATTCTGTGGTTCTGGTGTTTCTGCAGTTCTTTAACAATGTTAAGAAACAACAGAGCAGAACATTAGCCGTCCTGTTTTTATGTGAATACATTAAAGTAAGGGTCCAGGGTCCTGAGGCTGGCCGTCACTGTCTCCTCTGAATGCATCCAGAAAAATAACTGTGTTAGGACTACGATAATGGTGGCATTAATAACTTTGATCACACACAGTTGGCTATTTTTGAACATCACGTTCATCATTTTATATTTAATTAATTAATAATTTAAAATATATAATAAGTAATATTGAGTTGATATAATATAACATACTACGGCACTGTGTCAGGGGATTAAACATGTGATTAAAGCGCCCCCTGTAGGAGAGGTTGAGAAAGCAAAATGATATGTATTTAAAACAAAGTTTTCTATTGCTATCGTTTTTTTTTCTTTACTTTTCCAACTTTAAACCCAAGCGTAAAAACAACTGTAAACGCTGTTGCTGCTGCAGATTGACCTCATACCTGTGCTGCTGCCTTGCTCTGTGGCTGGCTGTGAATGTGACCCAACATGCTCGAACTGGGCCTGAGTCTGGAATCAACTACACCCCCCACAGGAGGTTCCTTCCCTGGAATGCTGTTGTAGTAATCATGCTCGGAGAAATCCTCATCCTCTCTGGACATCGGCTCCTCCAGCCTCTGAGCTGATCTGAGAGAACAAGTGTAAGTGAGGTCAACAGGTGTCAGTGAGCATGGAGTGATTAAACATGTCATATCGACAGTAGAAATAAAGATGCGGAGATCTGGCTTCTCAAAGGGGCACCGTCTGATCAGATGACATCTCTGTATCTGAGAGTGATCCATAAAAATCACCTGGATATTTATATTGATCATTGGAGAGGTCACTGCTGCTGCTGACAGCAGAAATCTGTTCATCTGAAACCACCACAGCAGAGGACTAACAGTGAAGACTTCCTCTTGTGTCTTACAGTGACAATATAACAACACCTAATATGAAATCCCATCATCATGGAGAAAAGTCAAGTATATACAATTAATCGTGATTAATCATCAAAACATCATTTTCTGTTTACTGCTGAACAGAAAGACAAATAACAGCAGGAAGATGTTTTTGTTTGTGACTGTAATGGAATTATAAGATGTAAATGTCAAGAAAAATATGCAAAACTATCATTTAAATCCATCCAAAAATGTAATAACTTTGTATTAGAGCAACATTAACTTCATATTGTTTTTATCTTTTATTTCAATATTCTCCTCCAGTGGTCTTTGTCCTAGCTATAGTTTATTCATGATTTTTCATGTACACATAAACACATGAAGTCAGTACTATGGATTTATGTGTGGACCTTACCTGTCTATAGACACCATGGTTTTAGGAGGGCTGTGCAGGTACTGTTTAAACTGCAGCTCAAAGGCCTGGCCGATGGTACTGATTACACTCTGGGCTAAACCGTCAGAGCACTCGAGGATATGACACGCTGGAAAACACAGAGTAAATATATTTACAATTTTCTCACTCATTTCAAGGCATTTTTTGATGATGGTGATGAAGTAAAACAAAAGTTCTCCAGCCCAGGGAGCACCTCTCTGGTTCACCGGGTCCTTCGCCACGTACGCAACATAGTCAGGCGTGTCCTGCAGTGGAAAAGAGGAAAAATTCAATTAGCTCACAGGAATTAGATGTATGTAACTGCATTAAGGCCTTCATTGACTCAGGGGTCATGAGACTGGAAACTAGTGAAAATGCAATCTAGTCCAGCCTCGGCTGTGTTCAACAACAACAACAGCAAGAGTGAATACAACGCAGAAAAAGAACAGATTCACTCACTGTGTCGCCCCCAGAGGCAAATGAGATGGACTGCATGGGATGGTGTGCTATCACCTAAAAAAACACACAAAAAAAAACATGAATCATCATTTTCACCAAACTGATAAATAAATTGACACAGTCTGAATCCATGTTAAAGTTACAGTCGAAACAACAGTATTACATTGGTGTCAACCAGACTTATATAATATATGAAGCCAGAGGTTGGTAATGGAATGACAACATTCACTCAAATCATCGCAAACGCTGTTATATTTTAATGTCACATTTGATTGATTTGTATATTTACAATGAATAAACCAACTTAAATGACTTAAATGAAATATTTATCTGCATAATAAATAAATATTAAAAATACAAAAACGTACAACAAATGAGGTCGTATTGATAGAATACACTGGCATTTACTTTGTTGAGTGAGTCATAAAACGTCATGTACTGTATGCACTGTATGCACCACACGGTTATACACAGTCTCAAAGGTGATGAAAGGGTTAATGAACTTCAGGACAGACAGTCAGTGTAACCCAGATGTGCTGTGGCTCACGTTGATGCACAAAACAAACCAACTTCTCTGAACAACAGTGTTCTTCCCTCATGTTTGGCCACATCTCTTACTGTGACTCATTGAAATACGATACTTCAACATCATCTCACCTGCCGTGTGGTGGGAATGAGCAGGCCCAGACCATCGATGGAAATATTGATGGCGATGCTCATGCCTGCAAATCGCAGGTTGCTCTTCCCCATGATGGACTGTAGGGCTTTGTTCGAAGCCTTAATGAAATAAAAACATAATAATGAACATAAAATACAGTTTCCATTCTAAAATGGTAATCAAATCTGGAGTAGCACGAGGATTTCATTATTCAGAGAGCGTTGCACGAGAAGGGACGTGAATTAAATTCACTGTCGTAGCTGCGTCTTGTGCAGTAAATCAGGAATAGAAGTATTTCAGCTCAGTGAAACGTGCAGCGTGTAACGACCGGTCCACCACTAACCTTCTTCCTCCACGGCCCCTTCCCTCCTGGCACTGATTCACACAGTCTGTTGATGGCTTCCCTATTAGGTAAATGAAGAAAAGTCAGAGGGCGAAATATACTGGGGCATATTTACGATCCAGACATCCCGTGGATTTACGGAGACTCTGGAACCACTTGCATTATAAGCATGTCTGACTGAGGGAAGACGGACTGGACTTGTGTATGTGACTGAGACAAAAGCTTCTAAATATTAGGCACATATTCAGGGCTGCACAGGTTTGATGCATGCAGAAAAAAACCAAACTCAAACATAGACAGTTTCCTAAAAAGAGTTAAAGTCATGGGTCGCAGACCTGCCACGGTACAAAGACCAAAAACATTCTGTTCAATATAGATGCATTTAACTAACCAGAATTTCACCCAGCACAATAACAGACCATCAACACAGACTAAAACACAACACAATATAGTGTAAAAATATAATAAATAGTTCCTTGCAGCTTTCACTGGAAACTCTATTTCCGCTTTGTTACTGCATTTTGCACTTAGGTCTTAATGTTACTTTCCTGAGTGCAGTATTCTGCAGGACTGTTGTATCTCTGCAACAACGCAGCAGATACCCCTGGGAACTTCTGTGCAATGTCCATTTACAGCCTGTCCCCTGTGAGTGTGATGGCAGCACTGAGGTGAAATGTGGAGCTGGATGCTCTCTCTCTCTCTCTCTCTCTCTCTCTCTGCCAGGGGGCAGCGGGGACAGCAGTCAAGAACCCAGCTGCCCCTATCAAGTGGCTTGTAAATATTTAAAAAGCAGCATCCTGGGCCCCGGCTCGAGTAAAGGTCTTCTCAGGGATTTTTTACAAACACACAATGTTCAAATGACTCATGCTGATGAGAGGGCAGAGCGGGTGGGGGGGAGGACAGGGAGGAGGACAGCGATGGGCTGCTGCTGCTGCTACTGTTGTTGTTGTTGTTGTTTTCGTCTGCAGCCTCAGTGTCCTCCCAGCAACACTGGACTTTATTAACTTTATTAACTTCTGTAGTTATTTAACAGAAAAACACCAAACATGTGGTTCAGGTCTGGATAAAGAATCTCACATTAATGATGTTGAAGTTTGGATCTGAGAGAATTCTAAAAAGTCATAAGATCAAACCAACTGTTTTGGAGTTGATTTCTCTTCTTTTTGTCTCTGCTGAGTCGCAGCAGGCAGTGCTGTGTGTCAACAGCAGCATCTCAGATAGTTGAATACCTACAGTATATATGGGATATAGTTACTGGGTGGTAACACATGTGTCTGTGACTTCACTATGGCATATGGTGGTGACTGTCTTATATCTGTCCTCTGTCAGTCTGACCTGGGCCATGGACGACACATCAAGAGTAAAGTGTCTTATTAAAGACCATATAAAAGGTGTGATGTCTCAGCAACATCTGATTAGAAACAGTCATGATCAGTTTTACCAGTTTGGTTGGTATCTCAACATCAACATCTGATTAGAAACAGTTATGATCAGTTTTACCAGTTTGGTTGGTATGAAATTATTTCATGATGTGAATACAAAACAATTTAAACAGCTTCTCCTGCTTGTGCTGATGTTTTGTTTTGAACACACCCCTCCCTATTTCCCTCCCTCCCTCCCTCTCTCCCCCTCATCTTCCTCAAGACATTACATCCACAGACATTTTCCAGCAGGGTGCGTTCGCGGGGACCTCTGCAGCTTTCCACAGTCATTAGTGAGCATCATCAATAATAAATCTCTCTCTCTCCCTTTCTATCACTCCATCTCTCCCCCTCAAGCCCTCCCTCTCCCTCCCTTTGCACTTAAGGCTTGGATGCATTGTGGGCTCAGATTACGACCAATCGATGGTGAAAGAGAGAAAGGGGCGAGAGACAGATAGGGAGGGAGGGGTGAGGGTGCTTGTCCCATGTGGTTGAGGACAGCAGTGAGGTTTGATAACAATAACAATAACATGCAAAGAATGTGAGGCCGACTTTTCTATCACACCACCCAACACTTAGCCATGTTGCTTTTAACCTGGGATTCACGACACGGCGTCAGCAGTAGACTGGAGGAAGTTGTGACGTCAAAGACGTGTTTTTCTGTCTCTCATCTGCAAATGTTCAGTGTGCAGTAAAATATGCACCAAACTCCAATCATTCAGTGTAGAGCTGGAGATGGTACACATGTCACAACATGATGATGAGTCAACTTGAACCTGTTCAGTGAAACACTGCACTGACTGCTGATGGACAAATACACCACTGATGATGACATCACCTGATTGGTTCAATTATATTCTAACCCACAACAACCGGTAGAAATAACAGGCAGCTCACCTGGTCACCTGAGTTCTTGTGTTGAAGTCCAGGGAGCGCATTGATTTCAGCACTTCTATGCAGCCCATGTACTGAAAAAAAGAAACAAAAAATGGAAAAAAGATCTTTTAAAATGTGTTGTTCTAGGCTTGATATCACCCTGCTCTCACCCAAAGAAAGGACAAAAACAAAATGGACACATAAAAGGCTTGTCCCAGTTGGACGAAATAAAGTTTGGTGCAAAACACAAAAGTAAAAAATAATTACTGAAATAATATTATATTTACCACATCAATCATAATGCCCAAAGCATTAGTAGGCAATAACAGAACTGTGTCGACTGAACCAGAGACAAAACAATGGCACAACAACAGGAAAAAAATAAAACACAGGTCAAATTAAAAGCTACGCTGTGAGACTTATGTTAGAACGGCTTCTTTTTTATACATATAATTTTACTATTTTTTATCTTCCCAGAATGGTCAGAATTTTACCATGTAAATAAACACAAAGCCTAAACAAAAGTCAACAATATAGTGTCACCGCAAATGGAAACATTTCCCAAAACAGGTCAGTAAGCAGCACTACAGACTTCAGGGCCCATGTCCCATAGTAGTTTGCTTGTGTTAGCATTAAACCACACAGGGATCCTGTCAGTATTACCAGCACTGTAATTGGATTATTATTTTGATTGGCATATATTTACATTTTGTTCAAAAAAAACTTTTTGTGAGAGACATTTGAAAACTCTCTTCTACAATTGTGGCTATTTGTAAAACCACATTAAAATCCTTTTGAAACCCTGATGAGGAATATTAAAGTGAGCGGCAGTTGAGTAGCAGCAGCTGAGCAGTTTCCTAATGGAAGTCATGTTTAGGTGCTAATGGCACCTCAAATAGATTAGCAGCACTAAAAGCTCCAAATAGCGGACAAACGGTAGCTTCTTAGCCCTCTGGAGGATGCAAAGAGTGTGTGTGTGTTTTACACACTCATTGCATTTCTCTACCTGGTATTTGCATCTGTGTGGTTCAATGGTAAAAACATTGCAGATTAACCTGACGGTTGATGGAGAAAAAAAAAAAAACCCTCCTCTCTAGCCGACTGTTGTCAGATCATGTTGAACTGTTTTAGACCTGGCTTTATTTCCTGTTTGCCTGACACGATGGTACAAGATTAAAAACCAGGATAATAAAGTCACATGGACAAAGCCTTCTTCCTGATCACACTGCAGCCTTTTGGATCAGTCCGAGGCCTACAGCTCACAATATTTTCCTGGGAAGAATGAGAGACAAAAACAGACAGCAAGCTAACGCTGTGCTGGAGAGGCTAATGAGCTCTCTAATCAGATTTGAAGACAGGGCCAGGGAGGAATCTTCCATCAGGAAAATTGGCTCTTTCTTCTTTCTTCCCATCTCTGCCAATGCCTCTATTGTCACTCTCACCCTGCTGATGCAATACATTCTTTTTCTCCATCAAACCATCGTCACTTTCATCCATTTTGGCAAAGTCTCCAAACAGTACTGTGAAACTGAGTTTGTAATACATCTTTATATTTTTACCCAACGTGGAATGTTTATCTAGAATCATGTGGGGTTTTTTTTAACTTCTTGGACACATGAACACAGCAGTGGGTTTTATCCAAAGTTTTGAACAGAATGTCAACTGCATTAAAAGCTTCAGTGCAAGCCTTCACACAGCTAGTTGTTGCAGCTAGCTAGCTGTCTGGTGTGTAACCAAAACCAAGAGATTACACAGACCAAAAAAATACTACGGCCAAAAAATAAACAAGCACGTAGAACTAGAGCAAGTAGAAATAGGAGATGAAACGGTACACCTTACATCTTATATATACACTATATACAAATTTCCCTTAAAGTTTTCATTTCATATTTATTTTGTGAACATGATGTCAGTTTTATAATTTATGGCTTTATTCCAAGGAGCGCAACAGGTCTTTCTGGTCGGTTGCCTATAGGGCCCACCGACAGCAACACATCCTTCTTATTTTAATTTAAATTTTAAACTCGTCAAACATATGCTGTTCATATATATTTACCATCTCATATCATGGTTTGCTGTATATTTAACTCTCAATAATAATATAAGATACAACAGGTGCCTTCATCCATATGTACTTCATTGATTCTATTTATCTTATCTAGTTAGAATAAGTCAGGTTGAAAATATGTTTTTTTTGTCTCTACGCTGAAAAATTCTGGAAGCTAATGGAGAGTTCATTTAGTTGAGTTTATATGTGAAGTAGGGTGGGGGGGCAGACATCAAGGGCTGGATGCTACTAGACAACACATAAGTTCAACAACTGGTCTTTTCAAGCAAACTAATGATTTAACCTGGTTAGCAGGAAATTCGTTTAAAACAATTACCGTGTGGTATTTGTATAATTTTAATTTTGGCCGGAGTTTGGTGAATACTGCAAAGCCCTGTTTGTTCAGAGACAGAGACAGAACAAAGAGCCTAGCAGTACTACAGTATAAGGACAGAGAAGGTGTAAAGGAGGCTAACCTTCACAGGTCATCTCCAGGAGTGACACGACCACACATGCATGGATATGAATGGCCATGTCAAATATTGAATTGCAAATGAAGGAGAGTAAGCTATGCACTAGCCGTGCTGATTATAAATGGCACAGCGCAGCACAATTCTGCTGTCACTTTGACACTAACACATGCAGCTACTACTCCTCCCTGCAGGGATTTATAGCTGAGTTGCACGTAGTACTGGCTACTACTGCTGTCTGTATTTACTGTTGACCTCCTTAAAAACCAGCACCATGCAGTACTTTCCCAGAGATCACAAAAAGAACTGGTTAAATGTTGTGTTTCTAATTGACTGTGGGAAATCTAGAAAAGCTTTGGGGGAAAGTGACGAGTGCTCATAAATACTCATCAGAGGACCCCCACCACACTGAATCCATCCTTCCTTTTCCACATCACATGATGTAAACGTCTGTGATTAAATGTTATTGAATAGAGGAATAAATGGTGCCTCTGTAATGCCATTAGAAAGCATGTGTGGCCCCTAGACTGGGCTCATAAGGAGCATGTCATTAGTTTATGGGACAGGGAAGACAGGAGAGGAGAGGACAGGAGAGGAGATCATTGACATTGACGTCAGACAGTCTGTGCACAGTGATCATTTATAAACACCAATCTCTCATAGACTTTAACACAACATATTTTGAGATCACATCAATAATGTGCTTTGTGTCTTATTAAAAAACATTGATGTCTTTTAGTAGTTCATAATTTAATAAACCCGTGGCTCTGGGACGTTTAGTCAAAAACATAACTTGTTCTTATGATTGTCACTTCAACAGTCAAACTCTTCACTCTGTTGTTGTCACTGCGCACAAAAATGTAAACAATTCCACAGCCACACAAAGACCGCCACTCCTACACGCTTACAGCAAGTGGCTACACACATAGACACACACACACACACACACACCCTGCAGGTCAGCACCAATGTTAAAACATGCAATTGTTGTAGCAAGTGCAGCATAAGCAGACAGATTTATTCTGAGGACCAACAACAATCTTTTCTACAGTCTGCACATGGTTTCCCATGATTCATCTGTGTCCACACTGATGCCTGTTTGCCATCCTGACGCAGTAACACGGGGCTATCTATGTGAATTAAATTATGTATTCTCCAGCCCTCGCCACATGAGCTGCATAAGAATCTGTGTGCTGCTGTGTTGTCCCTTTGTCTCCAACATAAACACAGATGAACACAGTTCCTGTTCCTGTGCAAAAGAAAAGTTCAGCCTTTTCTTTATTTTTATGCAAACACATTTAAAAATATTATTTCAAAAAATTGTAATTAGAGATGAATTCAAACAGTTGGCAGTGACTCACCCTGACTATATATGAAGCTCCTGGTCCTGCAATCTTCTTGTCAGGGTGCAGCCAGCCCTGAGAGGGTTTGTGTATGAAGCTGCCCTTCTGGTTGAAGTCTTCTCCCCCCAGCCACATGCCTTCTACCCTTGTCCTGCGATTCATTCCTGACCTGGAGCTACTGGAAAGACTTGGGCTCGCCATAGACTCTGAAGCCCCGAATCCATGTCCCCCTGGACTGGAAGTGTTTGCTACTGCAACGGCTCTCTGACCCCGGATAGCCTGTAGGGAACAGGGGGTGACACACACGGGGTCACAGGAGTTAAGAACTGCTGCGAGACTTGCCACGGGGCCACTGGCTGAGGTGGCACCATTAGGTCTTTGAGTCGTCGAAGAAGGGGAGACGGAGGCCTGGGAAGAAGCCCCCGCTGCCTTGCCCGAGTCCTTGCTAGAGCTGGAGCTAGAGCTGGAATTCGATGGGCTCCTGCTGAGCAGTGAGTTGGAAAACTTCCACTGGGGCATTTTAGGGATGAGCATGCAGAAGGTTGTGGTGGCATCCTGTTCCCCGTCCAGGCAAGGAGAGTCAGCCCGAGCTGTAGCCCCAGCAGAGGAGGAGGTCCTGGTACTAGGATCCAGAGTAGGCAGGGGAGGCAGTGGAAGGCTAGGGGTAGAGGAGGGAACTACCGGCGTGGCCACAACTTTGCCGCTCATGGCTAAGCTCTGCATCAGGTCATCGGAGGAGGTCACAGATTCGTTGCGAAAGCGGTCATACTTTGGCTTAAGGAGCATGCCCGGAGAAGCCGCCTGAAGCAGAAGCTTAGGAGGTGTAACTGCCAGAGGATGAAGGGAGAAAAGGGGGAAGGGGGGAGGGGAGGAGGGGAAGGTGAGACAGAAGATGGGGGAAAAACCTAGAGAAATAAATAATCCAGACGGAGGTCTATATCCTTGACAAACTGTTGTCTGGTCCTCTACCGTTCACACACACAAACTGTCCCGCTCTCATGCTGCTCTCCTCTCTAGCTCAGCTGGCCTGCTTCCTTTCACTGCCTTAGGCTCATCACTCTTATACTCTCTCTCTCTCTCTCTCTCTCTGCACGAATGATGTCATTGGGTCTATTAGCCATGCCCTGCCCAGCTGCTCTTAGACTCTATTAGCTAAAACACATCTGCCTGTTCCACCCTGCCATCACACAGTAAAAAACAAACAACAACAAAAAACACTCATACACAAACGGGCAAACACACACACACACATACACACACACACACACAGAAATTCTAATTTAGGTTTATATTTATTAGTTATGGTTGATGGAGGTACGGTTTCCCCCGTGGAGGAATGTACATCCAAACTACATTATGACAATGAACACAACCTTCAAGGCATGTGCTGTACACCTAAGTACACACAGATCTCTGTGCAAGTATATGCAAGCATTTGCATCCTCCTCTTCACTACTTTTATGCAGTGAGTACGGTAATTGTCAGTGAAATTCCATTTGTCACGCCAGCACAGAAAAACTTCACGAAGAAAACAATGATGCAGCCACGCTGTCATTAAAACCCACCCTGTTCCATCTGTCTGAGTTCTCTCCCCAACTTCCCTCCCATACGCCTCCCCCAGAGAGCAATAAGCAATCACAACAAGGAGCTTCTGGCCACTCGCAACCTCCCTCAAGTCTTATTTACAATGTCTCTCCGCTGTGCTTCTTCCATCCTTGGTGGAAGTTTAACCACTGTGTCCTTAGAGAGATAAAGGTGTGAATTTTTGGAATAAAAGAACATGAACATGAAAAAAAAAGGTTCCAAGACAATGTGAGGAAATTAAAAACACTGAATATAAATTCAAAGAAAACAAGAAAAAAGACAGCGTAAGAAATACAAGTAGCTAGATATAGAGATAATATACAACCATGGTGAAGCTATTTAAACCTTACCCTCGTGTCAGTGGTTGAGGAGAAAACAACGTAGCTGGGCTCCAACAGGGCAATAGTCCAATGACTCTCCTCACTGACAGGGATAAACAAAGTTTTATCTGCTACATCGATGCAAACCTGCTCCGCAGTTACAGTAAGACTGTGTAATGTCACTACTCAGAAAAGTAAAATACAACAGAGGACATATGCTGAAAGTAAGCCAATGCACACAAGCCACTACCAGAACCTTGCCCTACCATCCCACACTCTCCCCAACAGCCAATCAGTGTTTTTTTAGTTTACCAGAGGACATACAGAGTTACTGATAAACCAGATGTGATCAATGTGCAGCAGTTCGTGGCCTTGGTACACTTTACCTCCCTCACCCCCTCCATCCACCTTCCTCTTTTTTGTAAATAACTGAATCAATAAGATGCAAAAAAAAAAAAAAAATCATATTTAAATAGTGTGTGGAACAGGAACATTAGTAACACGACCGCAGGGAAAACAGCTGAATTTAAAATGTAAACTTCATCTTGTTTTTTGCTTTAGGCAAGAATGTGTGTTGCTAGTCAAAAAAATGCTAAATGCATCACTTGTTGATGTTGTACTAATACAATCAACATTGTGTGCAAAGAGTTAACATTTCTTCCTCCTGACTTATGTACTCTGCATAATACGTCCGGAGCAAACCCTGCTGTGAATACACCTACACTCATTAGTAGTGCTTACCTTGTTCACGGCCATTACAACTTAAAACAACAGCATATGTTAACTACAAGGCTGAAGCTTAAACTGTGTAGTTAAAGGGCAAAAAAATAAACAAACTGAGACCGTACTACAAATCATTGACTATAAAGAGTGAAGAAGCTTGGAGAAAAATGTTAAAACTTTTGAAAGTCATTCTCACATTAAACCCTTGCACAACCCAATAAATAAATAAAAAATAAATACAAGCCCAATATTTATCTTAAGTTGAGAAGACTTGTTTCATTTTGGCAAATTTCTAGATTTCAAGGTCTCAACAGATAGACCATATATACATATTATATATATATATATATATATATATATATATATATATATATATATATATATATATATATATATATAATATGTATATATGTTCTATTATTTCTCTTCTATATATATTTAAAAAGTTAGCCACGTAAATGTAATAAATACTTTAATCGAAAACAAAAATTAATTGCAGTATCATACTGAGAGGAAGGCGATATCGCGATAATACGTGACATCAAGAACAGGCACAGAAGCAAAGAGATCTTACTGGGCTTGTTTTTACGTAGTTCGACACATCTGGTAAAGGTATTTCAAAAACGCAAGTAAACACAGAGTGTACTGGTATAAGTTTACATTTTTGGTACAAATTTATGTTTAAATGATAACAAAAATGTAAATTAGAAATGTATTGATACATATTTGTGGTTTTGGTGTTGATTTTATTTTGGTAACATAGTTCTATATCTTCATATATCTTCAATGCTTTAGACGATCTTTGAAGAAGGGCGTATCACTGGTCTGACCAATCAGGCGATGGCGGGGGGACCGTTAACGTTTGAATAGCTGCGGGTAAAAACAGCGGCAGATGACAGCGGCAACTTGTGGCGTTACATCGTACCAGAAGAAAAACATACTCACTAAGACCAGACCGAAGGTTTTCTCTACACCGGTTCAGAGGGTTTGTCACTAACCGAAGATGTCGAAGAAGCAGATTTACTACTCTGACAAGTACAACGACGACGACTTTGAATACAGGTAGGTTTACTGTTGCCGACTTCTGGCTAACTGATAGTGTGTAAGATCGTTAGCCACAGCAGCTTGTTGACCAACTGAACTTCGACGGGTAGATTGATCCACGTGTGGTTATTTTAAAATATATCCTTCTCTAATTTGGAAAATATTTACACAGTGACTTGGTAGAATGTAACTATTGTAAAATTTAGCAGCTGGGGTTTGTAGGTACTTCTTATCAAACAGATTTTTTCGAAAACAAATTAAAATAATATTAGTAACACTAGGATTATGGATTTGACCTTGTATAGAATTTTGTTCCAAAGCAGTTAGCAACACTGATGATTTTCACCTGGCAAAAGTCTGACGTGGTAGCTGTGAACCGTGGCATTTAATGGATGAAGGGAATCGTGCTTCCTGCTTTGAGCGTATACTGCTATAAAAGTTAATGTGTTATCCTCATGTAAATGGTATTTGTTATTTATTTTAAAAAAATGTCTTATCTCAATACAGACATGTGGTGCTTCCAAAGCAGCTGTCCAAACTGGTGCCCTCCGCCCACCTGATGACAGAAGAGGAGTGGAGGGGCCTTGGTGTGCAGCAGAGCCAGGGCTGGACTCACTACATGATCCACAAACCAGGTCAGGAAACACACAATGTTAGTTCTATAACTATTTTACAACGCAGTTGAAATGTAATTTATGATTACAAATGTAATTGTAAGGTAATGGATTAAAGATTATTTAATTGAAATACTTAATCAAAGAATGCTGTTGTCATCATTAAGCTCTAATCCATTCCCTTAGTCTTCTTTTGGTCATTTCTGGTTCCATAAAATAGTAACATATGAATGTAAATGTGGACAAAGTGGACTTCATGTGGCGGAGCAGAATAGATACAAATTGATAAAAGATGACAACGTACCAGTTGCAACTCAACATAATGAAAAGATATTTTTAGGCAAATATGTTTTTACATGTTGAGTTTTAAGCAACAATTACTGGTGTTTTTCAAATGTAATTATTTCTATAGGTCAAAAATACAAAGGTAAAATTTTAAATTTACTTTAACTTCAAATTTTATACAGAGAGAAGTCCAAATTATTATTACACATTATCACTTATCTTATCCAAATTATTATTATTACACATTATCACTTATCTTTTATTATCAGAGGATCAGCCAAAGTGCTGCAGTTTTGAGATAACCTTAGGAAAGATGATGATGTGGATGTTGAACATCAGGCAGGAGGAAGGAGGGAAACACTGCATAGGTGACTGTATGTAGAATAACAAAGATAGCTAGTTGGCTATTTTGCTAAGACAGTACAGAAATGTTGTCATTTGTTAGCCGTTGTCATGTAAAGATAGTCCTGGTTTAACATTGACCCCAGCCTCAGATGCTGTAGTGACTACTGTTGCTTTCTTAATGATGCAATTATTTTTTCTTTTTTTACTTTTATTTTCCAGAACCACACATACTGCTTTTCAGGAGGCCTTTGCCGAAGGAGTAAGAAGATGCACTTGTATGATTGTTTATTTGTATTGTCTTTCGACCATACATTATTTCCTATCTGTTGAATATGTGTAGAAAGTGTCAACTTTTGTTCTTTCAGTCTTCCTCAGTTTTTAGAGGTAATGAGAGGCATATATCTTTATTCCATTGTGAATGGTGCCCATATAATTAATTTGCCGAAGTGAATTGCCTGTCAGTTCTTTATTTTTAATGTTTTTATTTTCGCCATTTTCTATATTTTCTTATTTACTGAGTCGTCATGAGGGCATAGGATTATTTTATTCTAGAGCCTGGTAATTTTCCAAGTGTGATTTCTGTGTCTGGACATTTTATGTTCTCTCTATTACTGACTGTTTTGTATATATGATACTTCTAGATATTTTATTTTCACTGAGTTGTGAATGGTATAAGCTTGTTGTCATAGAAGAAACAAAATAAATTGTGTTATCTTTAAATCTCAAATATTTGTTTTGTCACTTTCTAAAAACTTTTTCTTGCTTCTACTTTAAAGGATGAATGTTCAATCAGAAACATTAACAACCAGTGGAGTTACAAATTCAGAGTGTCTGACCCCTAAAGAAAAGGACGGGGCCCGAGGTTTGTGCACTGTCACTTTCTCTGGATTGTAAGTTCCAGGACCCGGAATTTTCGTTTTGTCTTTGGGTGAACTGTGTCGTCCCAGAATGGAAAACGCTGGTTGTCTGTGCAGATAGACACCTGGGTCTGTAGTGTTGTACCTGCAGGGCCCCGGTGTCTGTGCTAAATCCACAGAGGGCCCACCAGGGCTGTAACTAGCTGACATGGTGTAGCATGCACTGGCTGGTTTGTTTGGTACTTTAGGCCCCATGAGTGGAGGGAGATGGTACTTGTTAGGAGCAGGTACGGCGTCCATGCTGCGGTAGTGCGTGCGTGTACCCATTGTGTAGGATGGTGGTCTGCGCTGTAGGTTGCATGGAGGAGCTTTCTCTGGGCTGTATGCACCAGGTCCAGGTGTCTGGAACAGATCCTCTAGGAGAGAAACCATTGAGGAATATTAACTGCCGACTCCGTGCCATATGGTAGAGAGCACTTAAGGAGGTAATGGAGTCATAGCAGCTGACAACAGCTCTGAGCTTCCAAAGAAGTTGGGATGTTTATTTTGGCTCTGAGCTGTAAGGGAACATATCTGAGGGTAAGGAAGCTTCCAAGAACTTCCAAAGAAGTTGGGATGTTTATTTTCTTTTAAAGATATAAATAAATCCAGTTCTACACCACTCTAATTCGTGCCCCCAGTTGACCTGCTGTTACAAGACTATATATTTTAACTTCTATAAATTGAGTTTGCACACTCCCCAGTGTGTCCTGGAAACCTGAGGCAGACAGGATTAGACACGTTAGGCGAGAGCGAGTGTACATGGGTGCATTCAAGACTCGGCGCTCACTGATTGGCTGGTTTTATCATACAGGTTTTTTTTTATCTTTTTTTTTTCTTTCTCATGTATTGTGTCTAGGGGAGTCATTTGGACAGTGAAATTCAACAGAAGCATTACAAATAATGACAATTGTTTTCTGGTGCTAATCTCTGACAATATTAGGTAACTAGTCATAGTAAAAGTCATGCAGAGGTGAGTTCAACAATATGTTAGTTCATATTATCAAACCAACACTGTGCTTGGTGCTACTACTGTAAATGCCATATCTGAACTACTTCAACAAAAATTCTTAAGTTGTTATGGAATATAAATTAGTTGAAATAAATAGTTTAGTTTTGCGGCTTTTATGTTTGGATTTGAGATATCGCAAGAGAAGACACTCACTCTGTCTTTTGATTCTGCTTAACATGGAGTATGCAGGAGTACCATCCTTCCCAAAGCGTGTGATCTTTGCATCAACATAGTACTGCGGGCCAGGACTGCAGTCAACAGAATATACTGTAAAAAACAAACATGTAAAAACATCAAACCAAACCTCTCATCTTTATATAAAGTACTGTCCCCACAATGAGACCTGCCGCAGTGGCCATTAAGTCAAGGAATTCAGCATTCATAAGGAGTTGTCTCCCCCTAGTGTTTACATCTTATATATACATATATATATACACATATATATATATTTGTATCTCAACTCTTTCAGTTACTTTGCTGTTAACTGACACAAAAGGTTTGACAATGTCAACAACGAGCACATTATTTTTTGAAGGAGGAAACAGGGAAACGAGACTCACTACTGTCACTCATCTTGCCGTGAAAGGAGTAAGCAGGACTGGTGGGTTTGGTGAAGTCGTGTCCATTAAATCCAATGGTTGGAGGAAGCCCATAGCGACCAGGACCTGGTCCTAGAGAAAGGACAATGTCAAAAATGTCCACTGAGAGGACTCACAGTAAATATGTATTATTTCACATACAAAAATGTGTGCATGTGTGGTACGTTTAAAGTCCTATTAAATAAAAGTCAGCCATACCTGTTGTAGTTAAAAAAAAAAAAATCAATTTGCAATTGAATTTGATTTTTTTTTTCAAACCACTAATTGCATCATATGTGGGTTTTATTTTCATATTCAACGTAAGGGTCTGTTGACCAGTCAGACACATTAAAACAGTGTTTTCCAACCTATTTTTTCAACTAATTAAAAGCAACACACTATAACAAACATGAAAAAAACTAATTTTAGAAGAAATGCCAAGTCAAAAAAAGGTTGAAAATAATTTTGTAATTTAAAATTAGCCGTTGACTTTTCTAGCTTGGGTGTAGCGAGCTAAAATACAGAGCATGGCTCTTGAAACAAAGATGTCAGGGAGTCCTGTAATAAATATATCTATTAAGACACCATCAGTCTGCTCTTAGAGACAGGGTTCAGTGAACAACAGCCTGGAGGTCTTTGTAACCAAAACAACAGGGTCAAACACATGGATACCAGAGCAGAATGGGGGTGAAAACGCCAAATCAACCTGCAGAAAGTAATGACTTACAGCAGTGTACAAGTGTTCAGCCCACAGAGCCCAGAAAAGGAAGCATTTTTCCCAGTGTGAGACAAGTCCTGGCAGGTCTGCACTTTGACAAATCCTCTGTTCCGTTCAAGTCAACATTCTCTTTATGGGATCTCAACTGAAGTTTGTGCAGAGCTGCAGTAGATTCTAAAAAAGGTCACACACACAGACTCACACCCTGGACTTACCCTTTTCTCTTCCTGAAATCGCAGGGTATTTTTTCTCCATCGAGTCTTTGTAGACGTGATGATGATTCTGGAAGTCGACAAGTGTTAATGTTAATCATTCACACTGCTTTGTCAAAACAGATGGATGTATAAACTAGAGGTGTAATTCCATCAGTTATTAAAGCTCATTACTGATAATATTAGTACGCCGCAGTACTTCTTTTTATTAAATACTTTAATTCAAATTTACTTCAGCTCGTATTTCTAAATTCTGTACATAATCATGTTAATATTCTCATGATGATATTTTTCTTTTGCACACTTTTGGCTGTTGTGCAAATGTCCTGATGTCTGGAAAAATAAAACATTTCTACCGGTTTAACAAAACAGTCAGTGACAATAAAATCAATGGGAAATAAATACGTACAGGAAGTACTTACCACACACAATTACCTTTCAGCAAGACCAAGGGCAGGTTGCAAAACAGTCTTTAACTTTAACTATTCCATGTTCACTTTCACCTGTGTCCCAAAGAACTCTCCAAACCTGGAGCACAGATGATCCAGAACAAATCTTTTAATATCAGTGTGCACAGTTAAAGTCACTGGATTTAACCCAAAATACTCTACGGCCGTTGGCACAGACCAATGGCCGAGGCTCCCTTCTCAGTAGTGGATGTAGAGTTGCACTCGACTGCTGCCTAGGAACAATAATGTCATCAGTCAGATTCACTTTCATGTAATGCTAGCTCCCCCCCCGCAAAGCATGAAACCAGGATCCCCCGCTCCCTCCTTCCCTTTTCACTCTTTCTGCTCAATGCGGCGTGGAGACACAATATCACTCTTTAACCATGCATGCAGTTTCCACAGAGACTTCACTGCAGGGCAGGATCCCCTGGTGTCACAACAAAGTTTGGGTAAAATAACCCTTCTGTACTACAGGGCCTTCACAACACATGAATCCAGGAAGACAAATATTTTAATGTACTGTGATCAACAAGCATGTGCTGCCACATCCAAGCTTTTTTCCACTTCACTGAACGCCTCCGTATTCCGTCGGCCCACAGATGACTTCAGGTGAGCACATGTGCAGGCCATACTGTTTGTGTGTGTGTATTTTCCTCCCATGAGAGCACTGTGATGGAAATAGAGCCCTATCACAGATGTGGGGTCAGATGCAGTGCAGCACACCTGGAGCAGCTACGACAGACCCACGGATCAAGTCATAAACTGACAACATACAGCTGGAAATCAAACCAGCCACCCTCTGCTTCCTTATCTTTGGCACCAGGTCAAACAGACGAGGTTACAGCTTAGCCACCTTTGATCTTTGCTAATCCCACTGGTAATTTGTAGTTGGAATTTGGAGGAGTTGTTTAAAAGTCATGATGGAGCGGTAGGCCAGAGTAACAAGTGGGCGGACAAGTAGTCTGTGCAGAAAAGCAATATTAAACTTTTACAGGCTCCTAATGCTATTGCAGCTGCAGCTTTGGTAACACATATCTGCTGTTAGCAGCAAGAAACAGGAAAATGATGCACATCCCAGCTCAGGAATGTGTACAGTAGAAACTGAAACAGACGTGAGCATGCTTTCTCCCTCCAACGCTGCCGCTTGCCAGGGGTCAGGGAGTCAGTTATCAAAGCAAAGGGACTTCTGAAGCAGCATAGTTGTAATGCAGCGTACTGCAGGCAGGAAATTATCTCCAGACTTAACTAACTTTTCAAAGGGAACCGGGAAACGGAGCCTTCTGACCCGCTGCCGCTGCAGAGACGAGGTTGTTAAAGAAGTGAGGGGGAATTTAAGCATTATTTTTTTAAATGTACATATACAGCATCAAAACATGTTTATTTTTTAATTCTTGTTTTAAAAAGCACAATGTTTATATGACTCGGGGCTACATCTAATCAAATTTGGTATATTTACACAAATCTTTAAACTTCATTGTTGATTTTTAAGGTTGAACGCTTCATAAGTCAATTCAAAACGACAGAATAAACAAACCAAAGAATAAACACAATAGCTTATCAACTGTACAATCAAAACTCAAGGTAGGTAAGGTGAAGAGTTGACTGGAGAGCAGACGCAGATGCAGCAGTTTGAGAAACATGTCAGCTGGTATGCCCTGGTGCACGACTTTCCGACTCTTTACCAATAGATACCATTGTCGACATTGTCGTAAAAAAGTATATGATAATTAGGATACAGCCATGATAAACAAAAAAATAACTTGTCTAACATGTCTGTTGTTTGAGAAGGGGAAATGATCGCAAAAAACATGTCTGTTGTTTGAGAAGGGGAAAAGACAGAGGAGGGCAGAATGACAACAATTAAAATAAAAATATTATGACTTTTTGCTACAAATAAATACCACAGAGAGACAAAATAACAAAATATATCGCTTAATGTCAGGTGTAATTACAAACATAAATACTTGGTTATTTTTAGTGATTATAAAGGCAATAACAGTGAGTAAAAAAAAAAAGATGCTATTGTGCCTAATGGTGACCAAGAGCAGGAAGAGGAAAACATAACACACAAACATACAAACGTCCGCTCAAGCATTCAGAACATGGAGACAGCAAAGAACACACACTCCATATACATAATCACACTCTTCAGACTCCGCCCCCTCCTCCTCTCAGCCAGAGCTTCTCTTCTTCTCATTCACTTTCATATTCACAAATAATGTACAAGTTAAAGGCGGTTATGGCTTCACTCTGTGAGGGGTTCTGTGGAGGAAATACAAAACAAAACAAGCAACTTCATTATTAGACAATAACAGAATCTGAGAAAAATATATTTGGAGTCTGGTTTTAGCTCCAACCAAGCAGCAGCAACATCACACCTGATCTGACACGTTTAATCAACTGATCTCAGGCTACACACATCTGACTGGTTAAAATTTGGAGCTCTTGGTTGGTTGGAACAAAAAGCTGCAACCGCACAGCCCTTTGAGGAACTGTTTGGACATGCCTGATCAAAAACATTAAAAAATACATGAATTAATTTTTTAAATTTTAAGCTTTTTATGTGAAAAATGTGATTGTTGTCTATGGTGATAATTCTTTCTGTTTATTATATCTGTTTACACGCAGTTACTGCAGAACTCCAGATGGAGGTTTTCACAGAATTTGAGTTACAGTAGGGATTTGACAGCTTGTCCAAAAAGTAATAATGATGAAATGATAAAAAAATAATGTTCGTTTGACTAAATTACAGCTAAATAACCATAAGACATTGGAGTGACAAAACTAAAGTGACAAAATGCCAGGACTTAATTGACCAAAGACACAAGTTGTTCATACCATCGTTCAGGAGTGTTTTTTGTGTCCAGTGTGGGCAGCTGTTTGTCGGCTGGTAGCGGCACCGTCTGCTCTACACTTTGCTGGATTTCAGGGTGAGCAGACTGGTGCACGCCATCTGCATCAGCCAGGAATGGATCGGAATCTGGGTCGTATTCGTAGGAGTAGTAGGAAACCTCTGCCATGGAGCTGAGGTCCTCTTCACCTGATCGGTTTGAAGTGACACATGCAGAGAGAACAGTTAAAAAACCCAGCAGTGCAACAATACCGCATTAGAAACAGCAGGGGTCCCTCTACACTCACAAAACCTACTCCAATGAGTTAGGTCCAAATCTTCAGTTTCAAAGTTGTGTTTCAGTGTTTATTTTACAGTCTTTATTTGGCACACTTCGCTGATTTAGAAACTTTATTCACAATTAGATAATTCATATTTATTTGATCTAATCCATCCATTCATCTTTTATGGAAGTGGCCTGAAAAAGCACGATCTGGTTGTAAAAAAAAATGAACTAAAATGCAGTGCGTGTATTCTACTGTATGCTCTGGTACAAGTTCACTAACCAGACAAGTCTGTACATGGAGGCTAATACCAGAGCTTCCTCCCTGCTGTGGTGGAAACCATTAGCTCCTTGGCGTAGCCCACTTTCACCTATTACACCTACGAGTGCACTCAGTGAGTCCAACGGTCTAATGGTTTACAATGACAGTGTGTTTACAGCTTTATTTATCCTGATGACCAGCAAGTTTGTTCAACTGTAGATGAGGACATGTCCAACTGTTGGGGCGTCTGTCCCCAGACTGAACAGTGAACGGACATTTATTTGATCAATTTGGTTTGTTTGGGTGAAACACATTCCTCAGGTGAGTGTGTGAGCCTCCGTTTTTGTAATACGGAGACTTTTTTGGGAGCTGCAGGCTGTGAAACAAGTCAGTGCGTGCTTCACGCCACATCACACAAAAACACACACACACAGCCCTGCACATTCATATTCACACAGGTCCTCCGTGCATCACAGCTAAACTTTGACTCTCCTCACAGTGAAGACATGTCTAAGACCATGATTAAACTCCAGAGTCCGTCCTGACGTCACACTGACTTTGGACATGAAGTGATGTCCACACCTCACCCTGGCTCCCTGATTTCCCATTCACTTTGTTTGCTCTTTCTGGTCACAGTCACCTGGCACACATTCTTTGCTGATTTTTTTCCTAAACTATTTCCCTATTTCTAAGTTCCTGAACTTTTCTTTATGTTCCAGTTTGCAATAAAAACAATAAAAAGCAGCAAAAGTGTACAAAACGTTGAACAAATGTAACCTCCAGTCTGTGTGCGACTTCCTGTGTCTGGATACAAAGTACACCTTTACTTCAAACCCAACAACACCATTGGGGACACCACATAAACACAGCACCGTTGTTTATGTAGGACAGTGCAGTGAGGACTGTCCTGGTTGTCCCCGAACAACACTGGTACAAGCACAAACAACAACACAGGAGAGACGGTGCTTCAAGCCAGGACGCAGTTGTTTATCTACAGCTGAAGGACAAAGGACAATCTCACAAGGACGAGAAGAGGAGGACATAGAGAAGACAGACAGTTTGAAGAGACTAAGATAAGCCATTCATGAAGAACGCATGTCTTCACAGAGGTGGTGGATTAGGACACCAAACTCAGCTACATACAATATAGTCCAGCTGTGCAGTCATCGTGTTAGCAACAACACCATCTGTATGTTATTCACACCTTAATCCATATACTGTAAATACAAGAGTCTTCAATTCTCTTCAATTCAGGTCTTCAGATATCCCTAGTAGCTTGAATGCACTGCGCAGAAATGTAATTTGACTGATTGTTGGATATGGAGGGAGAGGTGTTAATGAGGGAGATGGACGTACATGAAGAACTGCCGTCGTTACAGCTTTAGACAAAGTTACCTGGGATTGCAGGCACTGAAGGTTGCTCAGTTTCGTGCTCTACTGTTGGTTGCCTGTCCTCTATCACGGTCTCCACTGGGAAAACACAGGCATAAAAGCACAGAGATTTAAAGTCAAAACATTACAGTGTAGGACAGATGTTATGATTTCAAGTCAACATTAGACCTGAGATGTGTCGTGTTTTACTTGATCAGGTTGTTCAACACTCAGAATTAAGTTTTTTTCATCTAACCTTTGATGGAAACCAGGTTAAAATGATTTGAATTGAAGCTGAGTCTATGGTTAACATTTTGCCGATATCCGATATGCCGATATTGTCCAAACACTTAATTTCTGATTCCGATATCAACCGATACCGATATTTGCCCCCAAAACTGCGGTAAACGTCTCAGGACCTTACCAGCTATTCCAGCATATTTGGCAAAACCCAGGCATTGGGTTATCAGGTTTTCATTCCTACTTATGCTAATATCAGGCCAATCATATCGGTCGGCCCATATTATCGGACATCCCTACTTTACAGTAATATCAGATCTGTCCAATCACACTGTTCTCATTTAGTCAAAGAACATTTGAACAGAACTTGATGTCAATTTTTAGATGTGGAAAAGACCCCTGACCCAACAAAGAAGAAATTAAGAAATTAAATTATATTTTTGTACTATTATATTTACATTTACATTTAGATGCTACGTAGGGACAGAGCTTTGTTATTATTTCTTGGTTCATTGGTCTTTGACCTAAAGAAAAACATATCTAAAGGATTGTCTTTGTTGCGTGACCTAGATTGTGCACATAAATAATTTTGACCCACTAACCAACACATTTCTGCCAGGGGGGTCATTTTTGGAAACACACACTGTTCCTGATGCAGCCATAGACAAACAAGCAGAGGTCAGGGAGTGATATACAAAAATAATTCTTCTTACACTCTCCACAGCACGAACCCCTTTTTAACGCCAAAGTTTTGTCTATGTCTTTTTTTGTCCTAATCTGCTCCACAACATGAAGGCTCCTTTGTTGTTGGGCTATGCTTCGGAAAGGAATGTGACAGAGATTTCAAAGGGCTGGACAAAAGCACTCTGTCATTTGGACGCAGCCCTGTAATACAGCAGGGAGCAAAAAAAGGGGGGGGGGGGGGGGAGTGTGACGGGTCAAAAAAAAAAAAGAAAAACCCCAAAAAAACCCCGTCTTCCACTAATCAGCTCCACACCTGAACAGCTGTTTTAACAGCTCTGACCTAGGGACACACACACAGACACACCATACACAGTGACATTGACAGAATTCTATCACTGCCAGTGATAGAATATAAACATAAACATAAAGACTGACTAAACAGTTTTACTCTGGGCCCAAAGGTTCCATGTTTCTCAGCCGACTATATGTTCAGGCTGCGACAGTGAAGGCAACACAATGAGAGACTCATGAACCCAGCTACAGTTAATCCTTACCATGTGGACACTGGGACATTGGGACCTGCTTGATACTGGTTCCGTTTCGACAGGCAAAAACCTCCATCTGACACTGGTTCTGATAAAGCTGCCCATCTGACCCACACACTGGTTCACCATCATAACCACAATCCCTGTAGCAGGTGCATCGTTCATACTGCTCCTCCTCCAGGCAGCCCAACACGCTGTTGCACTGATTCCCCTGCACGAAACCTGCACGGAAAAATAAAAGTGAGGGTGAACTGGAAGAACGACTGGAAACCGGAAGCCAGCTGTTTGAATTGGTCTTTCAGGACACACACACACACACACACACACTCACCGATCCAGTGATTGGTTGAACTTTCCACCTCATTGCAGGTAGGTCCATCACAAAGCTCCCGCGCTAGTGGACTGCTCTCGCTAACGTTGTAGAAGCGGGTGGCCTCAAAGGCTGCACAAGAAAAACACACAGAACAGTGATGACGACCGCCTTAAAGAGGTCATAACATGACATACACCCACTTACATGAAAGAAGCCACTCCATAAATCATGGTGAGCTCGACATTTTTTCCTGCTTTGTGACTCTTTAAAAAGCTGCACTAAAAATATTCATCAGAGGCACACCTGGTTCGTAGTAGTCATAGATCTTGACCGGAACAGGCGCTGTCTTGCCCACGATGTACTCCCTGACAGCTTGAAAGGCCACACATGTCACACATTGGCTGGGAATCTAAGGAAGGGGGCGGGGGCAGATTGAAAACTACTTACAAAACCAGAAACATGAAAAATGATATAAATACCCTTTAGACTCTTTAAAGAGGCTCTAACATGGTGCAACATGTAGTTTTACTGCCTATCCACCGTCACTGCGGCAGGCTTTGACACGTACACACCTCTGAGTGACAGAGTAATGAGGATGTAAACTCACCTCATCAAAGTAGAACAGCACTTTTCTCCCATTCAGCTCGTATCTCTTCAGCCCCACTTTCTTATCCATCAGCAGCTGTGGAGGAAGTGAAACACAAACTACAATCAGGAGGTGGAAACACAAACACCACTGGACACTGGTCGTACTGTACTACTGCTTCTGTCCTCCAGGTGTTTGGATTAACTTCCTTTATGGGGGGAGAATGTTTTGCAGTTTTAAAACACTTTTTTATCTCTTTAACGGAAAAGAACTTCCTAAAGACAGAAACAAAGAGGCATTGATGTCCTGACCTAACTGACCCTTCAGCCTGAGCCCAATAAGACAGAAAGACACTTTGGGAGAGGCAGTTCTGAGCATCCTGCAGAATATTAACAAACTGTTATTGATGTGGTCGCTACACGACCTTTTCAAGTGAAACTGGAAAAAATAAAATTGAAAAAAAAAAAATTGGCTCAAGGGCAAAATTTTATTATTATTGACTTGGTCAATTTTTGGTCAATTTTTTTTATTATTATTGACTCGGTCCTCGAGCCGGGAGTTTGAATGCCGTGATCTAGGGCTTCAAATTCAACATCTTCAATTCAATTTCAGATTTCCAGATAGTAAATAAACTGAAGGATAACCTTCTTTCCCCCCCAAATTTGACTACAAACTGAAAATGGAAATCAACAGACAATCCCTTCGAATGATCAAGTTCTAAGTCCTTCTATAAGACTGATAAGAAACAAAAGGCTTTTTCCTAACATTTCAAGTGTACATGGTTCTTTCAAAGATATGATGGCCAAACTAGACTTAATAAATAGATCAACATCCTTTAACACATTTAACCTTCTCCTTATGCAACACAAAGTTGATGCACAACCCCTTATAAATGAAACAGAAAATCTCTATAATGGAGTATTTATTGGGTATTGGGCTCCATTTGCTTAGCACACACACACCAGGCAGCACCACAGAGAACTGGACAGTTCCCCATCATGGAAATTATGTTTCACTATTAATGAGTTTTTTATATTTTCTTAAAAAATACCATTAGATAACTTGTATGAATGTTTACTTAAACCAGGGGGGTCAAACCCATATTCACTGGTGGCCACATCAGCAACACAGTTCCCCTTTAAGGGCCGCTCATAAATGGAAGACTGTATAGATGTAACTGCTCCATAACATATTAATAAATGTTTTTGAAACTGATAAACTGTTAAATGCTTTTTAAGCTCCCGTGGGCCACTAAAGATGACCTGGCGGGCCTTAAGATTGACAAATGTAACTTAAACCATTTAAGAAAATCCTGTGCCAGACTCTTAGCCTTAAAGCTTTATATTGCACAGACCATCCAAGTTCACTTGGTCTGTATCTGAGGCTACTCTGAACCACCACAGACCACAGACCATATGGAATCTCCTGTTATTGTAAAGCCATCACAGAGAGAAAACCTTGACTCATATCATAACATGGATCAGAACTTTCATCTAGAGTGACCTAATCAGGTTTTCTGTATTAAAAAAGTTAAATAATGATATTGTTAAAATACAACAAACAATAACCAATTGTGTTCCACTTAAATAGTGATTTAAAGAGTACTGTACGACTGAGTCGCTGTTTATTGCAAATTTAAGTCGGCAGCCATCGACAGCCATCGACAGCCATCGACAGCCATCGACAGCCGACATGGGAAATTCCCCACAGATGGTATTGTAAAGCCATCACAGAGAGAAAACCTTGACTCATATCATAACATGGATCAGAACTTTCATCTAGAGTGACCTAATCAGGTTTTCTGTATTAAAAAAGTTAAATAATGATATTGTTAAAATACAACAAACAATAACCAATTGTGTTCCACTTAAATAGTGATTTAAAGAGTACTGTACGACTGAGTCGCTGTTTATTGCAAATTTAAGTCGACAGCCATCGACAGCCATCGACAGCCGACATGGTAATTTCCCCACAGATGGATCTGTCGTTCTGTCGAGGTGGCCGCCTTCAGACAGCAGGGGTTTATGAGGTGCTCAGGCCGAGCTGGCGCCACGGACACACATGCCATACAAGTCGTCCCTGTTTCCAAAAGCATTGTTTCTTAGTCTAATAATAAACATTCACAAATGAGCTCCAAAAGTTCTAACATTCGCTCAGTGTGCTTCTGCTCCAACTAAAAACAGCTCCTTTTAATTGATGATACGATGCCACAGCTGTGGGAGCTCCCAGCCAATCACACAGCTAATCAGCACTGCAGCATCCAACAAACCAAACAGTCACCAGTTCAGGAGCCAAGGCTGACACCATAAATTGAGGAATGTAAGCTGCAGTCAGAGCAGGCACCAGTAAAACTGTAAGGGAGGCCAGCAGGGGTGTAAAATGAGCTTGTTAGCCAGTGCAGCTCAGGTCAGCCCCAACAGACACACTCACAGCACTGGATGTTTGCAGTGTGTGAGCTACTGTTTAACACCCCAGGGAGCGAGATTGGTGGCTCTTGTAGAAGTGTGGGCCTGACGACTGAGGTCCAAAAACTGGTTGGTAATGAGGAGACCAGTCACTGTTGGAGGCCTGAGGAGCTGACCTGGAACCAGCTGTTAAATTTACCTCCACCTTCTCTCACTCTCCATGGACATATATATATATATATATATATATATATAT